TAGTGTAGGTCACTGGCCCAGGCTTGCTTGCTGCTTTGCTGCCTCAATCCCTTCCTTAAAGAAGAAACAAACTGCAGGGAACCAGAAACCAGGCACTCCAGTGGGGAGCAAGAATATGAATTCTCCCAACCCGAGGTGCAGAATGATTCTACAGGGTTCATGAATCATTCTGTACACCATATGGAGAGAATGAATGGGCTACACTTACATACACTATTATATTCAAATATGTTAGTAATATTGTAGTTCATAAAATATAAGCTTATAAATGGATGCTTAATAAGTTATTTTGACCCAGTAGTGTCTTTGGGAAGAGAATAACCTCAGAGATGTAGCTGGATTTGGGTGCTTTCCACAGCTCACTTGTCCTGAAGATAAACGTCTTTGGGTTTGGAGTCCTGACTTTGTGACTAAACAGTAATCATCTGTCAACGCAAGTGGCTGTTTCTCTGGTGTAATCAATGGCACAACATTCAGCACACAACACGGCAAGCTACTGCACCAGGCAACTGCAGTCTAAGAGAATAGGACTCACTGGCCTTTGCTATCCTATTGAAAAAAAAAAAAGGGTTGCTGCCATAGAATATTCCAGAAGACCCCAGGCTCAGCACAGGTAGACCACAGCAAGGGGATGCTAGGACTCAGTTGGCATCTGGAAGTGTGGGGGATCCTAAAGCCAGGGAGTTTATAATCCCTAAAATCTAGCCTCTGCCAGCAGCTGGCTGAAGGGAGCCCACCTCGATGGGTCTACTGAATGTGACTCCCCCTGTGACGCCTCAAGCATGGGTACCCCAGCAGAGGGGCAGTCGCAAACCCTCTGTGCAGGGTACCCCAACAGTGCTCTGAGTTGACGCTGCCTTTGTATATCTGCTGGGAATTTAAATTTCCTGGAATTCCACAATGAGGAGATAGCTACTTACCTCTCCCCCGTCCTCCTCACCTCCCACCCTCCAGCCTTGGAAAAAGATGGAGAAGATGCTTCTCGTTGTTAGTCTACACAAGAGTTTTATGACTCAAAACCATACATCTAACACTGGCAAATGAGAACATGAGGGAACTAGGAAGTCATGGTGGGGAGAAGGGGTTTCACCAGATACTAAGGAATTACAAGGAAAAGAGCCCTTTTTTTATAGATATAGGGAATGAATAATGGGAAATGTCTTTTCTCTTAACTACCTTGAGAGAAAAGCCGTGCTCCCTTTTCCTTCCTGTGAGGTGGGAGAACGCTGAGGTTGAATCTACTGAATTTAAGGTTTTTACTATGAGCCCTAGAAGTACATTTGAGTTGCTAGCCCATGAGAATGAGTTGTTTTACAGAGAACATGATTTTTATTCAAAGTGCATGTGATTACTATCACAGAAGTACATTTTCCCATGGCCACCCTAAGTTCCTGATAATGTAGTGATTGTATGTATGGCAGCGAACTTCTTTAGCTATTAAAACTCATCCCCGCTGATCAGTGTAGTAACCAAAGCAAAATCTGTGTAGAACAATAATCACAATATGCAGCTGTTGCTTAATATTCCAGTTCAGTTGCTCTGATCGAATAGTACAGGATGTGCTGCTTGGGATAGAGTTAAGCATATGTCCTCTGTTCCCAAAAAGCCTTGAAAACAATTTTGAGCTCTTCACATACCCTAGGGCATCAGTAAGGCGAGAGCTGATGGTGTTCAGGTGCCCTTTGAAAGACCTGAGTTGTGACCCACCACCCAGAAGTCCCACTGGGATACATGGGAAGTCTCTATTCTGAGAATAGCTCTTTCTGGTAGAGACCAAAGGGTATAAGAATAGCCCTGCTGCCTCAGGATTATGTTGTGTAAGGGAGTGTGGGGGTGGGCCTCCCTGGTGATCTAGGGGTTAAGTCTCAGTGCTGTCACTGCTATGGCCTGAGTTCGAGCCCTGGCGAGGAGGTGACCCACATGGCGCAGCAGACCTCTCCTTTCTTGCCTTCTGCTCCCCTCAGCAGTGTATTTCAGTAGATCTGCCTGTTCTGTTCCCCACTCTGTCTCTGGTGAATCCTTTTACCCCCCGCACCTCTGGCCTACACCCCAGTTCTTCTGCAAAAAAAATATTTTTTTCCAAAAAGGTAGTGTGGAGCCAGCAGAAGTGTATGTGTGTGTTGGGGGGGGTGAGCAGGGGGTTGCCCACATGACACTGCCTTCCAATCCTGAGGGGATAAGCTTCTCAAGATATTGGCTGAATGATATGATGTCTTGTCCTAGTTCCCCTTGGCAAGTATAGGGTGAGCCAGCAGACAGGAGAGAGGTGAGGTGTAAAGCTTTTGTGGAGTCTTAAAGATCTAAACAAAAGGGCAAGACCAGGCCCTTTTGTAACTGTCCATGGTCTTGGACCTGGGCACAGGGGAGAGATACTTCAGATCATGTAAGACAACCTCAATTTGGATGCAGAATCTGACACAGACCCATGTGTCCTCTGCTCCCAAAAAATGATCACCAGAAATAATCATCCTAGTAGAGCTAAAAACAAGGCCCAGAGGTGGATGTTTTGCAGGGTCCAGGTATTCTGATAGTTTCCTGCAAGCCATTCTCTTCCCAGCTCATCCCAAATACCCAGGCATGTCCCTGAAGGGAAGGTTATAAATTTAAAATTGCCTCAATTCTTTACATTTTGTGATACTTTCTAGCCAGCACCCTACCTTCTGTTCAGTTATTTATTCTGCAAAAGATTATTGAGGACCCACCTGCCCATGTGCTAAGTTCTGGAAGATGGTTTCTGCCTTCATGAAAATTATAGTCTAGAAAAGGAGAGCAGCAGACAATAAATAAGAAACAAGTCAACAAGATAATTAGATTATAATAAGGATTGTGAAGGAAATAGAGTAAATGAAAGAGATACTGAGAGGTGCTGTTCAGAGAAGGTAGTTGAACTGAGCCCTCACAGAGAGGAGTGGCCACAGGGAGAGCTGGAAAAAGAGCATCCCAGGGCACGGAATACAGCGACGCAGAGGCAGGAAAGCTCTGGCACATTCACGAATAGAGGCCGACTGGAGTGTAGGAAGGAGAATGGCCTGGGATGAGTTCAGAGACAAGACATGTGCCAGGTTGTGTAGGGCCTTGGAGGCCATGATCGCAGTTTGGATTTTATTCTGAGAGCAACAGGAAGCCACTGACAGTGTTAAGCAGGAGCAGTGATGTAATTAAAGATCACTGTGTGCTCACTGCTGCGTTGTTTGTAATAGCAGATTAAAAACAAATTCCATCAATATCGAGTTGGGTAAATAAATTTAGGTTCATTCCCATAGTATGCAGCAGTTAAAAGCCGTGAGACATATCTAAACGTGCAGCTGTAGAAGAAGCCACATGATTCTTTAGGTAAGAAGGAAAAAAAACCAAGAAACAGATACAGTATAAAATCTTCTGCCAGTGTATTTTAAAAAGGGTGGGGTGGGGTGTGGGGTGTGTGTGTGTGTTTGTGTGTGTGTGTGTGTTTGTGTGTTTGTGTTTGTGTTTGCTTGCCTGTATGAAATACCACTCAGGAATCTCTAACACTTTGCTTCTGGAGAGAATGGAGGCACAGGGTGGCTAGCGTAGGAGGGTGGCTAGGTTTCTGGAGCCAATTCCAATGAGTATTTGTGGAGGTCTCTCCGTACCAATGAGCAATTCTGGGACACCAGCGGGGTGAGAGAGAACTCAATTCTGACACTGTCTACCCAGAAATAATACCAGATTCCACAGTAAAAGAGCTCAGCCTCCAGCATCTCCCACCATTCTTCAGATGCAGGCCCAAGCCTGCTTGTTACCTGTATTTCTGAGCAACCAGCTACATATTGGAGGTTCCTATAACTTTTAACTCTTTGGAGTTTAAGTGCCAGTTACAGCTTATTTGTCTGTGCTTCTTGTCAACTAGCCGTAAATCAGAGACTTTTGGGGCCCCCTCCTCAGGTTCACTTAATTTGCTTCAGCGGATCACATAAAAATTCACTAGGTTACCAACTTATTACAAAGGACACTAAATTATATGACTCAACTACTAAATGAAGAGAGACATAGGGTGAGGAGCTTGGGGTCCAGCAAGGTAGCCATTGGAAGTACATTGTTCTCTAAGCTCCTTCTGAGGGTCATGGAAGCTTCATTACATCAGCACCATTGATGAACTCATAGGCCATTGATTTTGAACTAATCTCTACCCCCAACCACATTCTTCCTTCCCTGGAGACCTGGAGGTGGGGGCTAGAGTTCAAACCCTTTAATCACATGGTAGCTTCTCCTGGCAACCAGTCCCCTTCCTTAGGCACGTTCAAAAGTCACCACATTCATATAACAAAAGACACCTCTATCCCTCTCAACACTTAAGAAATGCCTAGACACTTGGGAGCTGTAATCCTGGAACTGTGCATGCAGGTATACCTATATAAGAATTAGATCTTGGTCATCTAAGTGACCAAATACATATTTTTCTCAGAGACTAACTCTTCCTAGTATATAGCCTTTTGTATATTAGAATATCTTACCATGTGCCTGTTTTACCTATTCAGTAAAAAGACATCATGTCTAAATTATGGCTACCCTGTTTGCTGCATGGAGACAGGGCAAGAACAGCAGCACAGAACCATTTAGACGGCGCTAGCGATGGTCCAGCCGAGAAGTGGTGGCATGACCTGTGGGGTTGGTAATGGTGATGGAGAGAAGTGGGTGGATGTGAGGCAGAGCCTGCAGGACACAGCATATTCCATGCTGACATTCCCTCCTCCCAGCAGTTAGGAAAGCTCTGTGCAGTGGAGACTGGAACTGGTGTTACCTGACTTGACTCCAACTGCTCTAACATCTTTATGGCGGGAAGGGTTCTTGGGCTCCTTCCAAAAGCTGAAAGTCTCAGAATTCCAGTGACTGACTAATGCATCACAATATGAAGGACACAGTTGTGGACATGAGCCTGTTTCCTATCTTCCTGCAACAGTTAGAAATGATGTTTAATGACTACCAAACAGTTGTGCTACAGATGTGCGCTCATTTCTCAACGGAGCTTGCTTTCTTTGCAGAGAGATGCCAAGGGCCAGTACCTGTTTGACCTTCTTTGCCACCACCTGAACCTACTTGAGAAAGACTATTTTGGGATCCGCTTTGTGGACCCAGATAAGCAGCGGGTAAGTGAATATTCAAAACATGAAGTGGAGGACAGGGTCATTCAAGCCTGAAGCTTTTAACTGTCGTGCCTATACAGAGTTTGGCCTTAGGAGTCAGGGACCAACCTGACACTGCAGTGTGGTGACATCCCTTCAAATCACATTATTAGATCTGGAAGGCACCTTGACAGAGCTCACGTATCCTCTCACAAATGCTGAAACAGCAGCCCAAAGTTGCTCAGTTGGGGGCAGAGCTGTGCTTGTGCTGAAGTCAAAGCCCAGGTCACTGGCTGAGCCTCTGCTGCCCAAGCTCTAGTCAGCAGGCTGAACCACATTGTTCTGCTTGGGGACCTCGCCATCCCTGTCTGGCACGCCAGAGCTAGAGTCATCTTGATGCAGGCCTTTTGGCGCCTTGCAAGTTTGCAATTCTTGTTCTACTAGAACAGCATGGGTATCTCTGTGATTTGACATTGACACAGGTCATTGACAAAGACTGTGATGTTCTAGACAGACATAGGCACAAGTTCATTATCACCGGACCCCTGCATACCTCTCTACCTTGGTCTCCCCTGACCTGGCTCCTCCCTGCTGTGACCTAGAGAGTACTCCAGTTCTCTAGACATGCCAGCCTTCTCTCATTTCAGAGCTTTCACCTACACAGCTCTCCCTGCCTGGAACATTTCCTTGCTAATCCATACTGCACACACTCTCGTGGCTAACTCCTCCTCATACGTAGTCTTACATGTCGTCTCAGTTTAGACTCTTGCTTCTTCCAGGAAGTTTTCCCAAGGCCCCACTCTGCATGAAGGGCCCCTCCTGTACTCCAGGTGCTCTATACTACCCCTGTCATGGCACTAATTGCACCATGTGGTAATTGTCTGTTTATTTACTTATATTCCCCACAAAATGTTAATTCCATGAAGGCATGGACTTTATCCCATTCATCACTATAATGCATGGAACTAGCACAGGGCCTAGAATGTAGTGGATGTTCAATAAATATTTACTAAAGGAATAATGAGGTGTCAGTGGTTTACAGTGCCAAAGTTCTTCCCTTGCTTTGTTCAGCCCGCACACACCTGCAGTTTCTATAACTGCTGTTCATCAGCTTTGCTGCCTGTAGGTCTATGTACTCCCTGGCATCCCATCAAAGAAGGCAAGTGTGAAGAAGCATTCACCCCTCAATACCTCCCTTCCCTGTACTCCTATCCACCACCTGCTCCCTCCAAAAATATCCCCACAAATCCCAGAGGGCCCCCCTTTCCTGAGTTCACTGACTTTCCTCACGGCTCCCAGTGTGGGCTTCATGTCTGTTGTCACCGGGGTCCTTAAAGCCCCAGAGGGCACAGCTGCCCAGCAGGGTCCAGGCCCTTCATCATGACAGTCAAGTGTTGATTTGTTCTTTCATGCTCTGAGCCACCATGTCTCCAGGTCACATTTAGGGTTCAGTGTCAAACTTAGAAGCTTAGGAAAGAAAAGGACTATATCACCCACTTCCTTTGACAAGCCCTGTCCCATTTTAGTGACAGATTTCATTCCTCCTGGCTCAGCAGAATTTTGAGCATCATTAGTGTTTGGGAACTAGTGTCTGGGTCAGCCCTTCACCCTCTAAAGGTACTACTCTCTTAACATAAATACTATCCTTAACTCTGGACCAAAGTATAAGACCTATGAACTCATAGTGCCGTGACTCACACGCTTTAGGTTCCATTCACTCTTGGAATGATGGACTTTTCACAAAGAGTTTTTTGGTTGATGCTATTTGTTTTTTGGGGGGAGAGAGGTTGGGATCTCAGCTCTTTCCCCTTGTGAAGGAAGACTTATCTGAAAAGGGCAAAATGTATCCTGTTCATTATTTTTTGGTCAGAATGTACTTGAGAAGAACAAGACAGCATGTGGATTTAAAGTACTTTAATCCACAAAGATTAAAAGCAGAAGGAAGTGAGGAAAAGGAGAAATGAACATTTATGTCCTGGCTGCCGTGTGCCCGGCTCTGCACTGAAGCACAAGCCTAAATCAGCCAGTGGCTACTGAGCACTACGCTGCGAGCCGCACATGTAATTTATAGGCTCTGAAGAGCAACTGTATGCCTAAATTATTTAATCCTTACCACAAATGAGATACATATCCACAATAATAATACCCATCCTCCAGATGAGTAAAGGAAATCTCGGATAAGTTCATTAACTTACACAAGGTAAGCGGCAAAGTTAGCCTCCAGCTCATGCCTGACTCCAGAGCCTTGGTAGTTTCTAAGGTTCACTACTGCATTCATACCTGATCGACTCTAAAGTTGACTGAGGGGTTATTGTGAGGTTAAGAAGAACAAGGAGGCTTGAGAGGATACTTGAGAGTTGAGGGAAGGTGAATCTGTAGAAAACTGTCCTAGATCTACTGATTGATGGTAGAGATGGAGGAGGTTAAGCTCCTGGCTCCCCTGTTTCTAGATTTGGGGTTCTTAGTCTTTGACTCTGGCCATGAAGGATTTCAAAGTCACATCATTAACAGAAGCAAAAGCAAAGTTTATTCAGAGACAGAATGAAAGTTCTTCCAGGGAGAGGCCCCGGGCAGACAGTCCAGGGAAGAACAACAGTGAGAAAAGACAGGGGGCTCTTGGCTTAAAATTGGATGTAGGAGGCTGCTCACGCCATCCCTTCCTGGGGCAAATGCATAGGCACTCACAGGATGTTAGTTTGTCAGTCCAGGCATCAGTTGCTAAGTTATCTCCCCTTCTACTGTACTCCCAGGTTGTAGTGTTATCAGCCCCAGCAGTAAGTTGGGGCACGAGTTCCCCCTTAGCTGCTTCTTGCTCTCCTCAAATTTTGTCAGCCTACCTACCTTCATTCTTCTGGGCATTTCTTAGCTCTCCCCAGACTTTATTGGCTCTAGCAAATAAAATTCCTGGGATTATGAGTATAGTTGGCCATTTATTGCCCTCCCTGGGGCACCAAGCATTCTGAATCCAGCCCCAGTGCTCATGTCCATCCCCACATCACTGCGGGGGGATTCAAGAGAGGGGGGATCTCAGTAGGGTCTGCAAACTTTCCTGGGGCCCCTCCAAGAGAAGCTGCCTTACTCTTCCCCCTCCCCTGTGCCTGGCCCAGGTCCTGAGCCAGCTTTAGCCTCGCCTTTGCACCCTTTCAATCCCTCAGAGTCTGAAGATGATGCCATGTTGGCCCATTTACCAAATGCAGGAGGAAACTCCCCTCTCTGAATCACTTCCTCTTCTCCTGACCCCACTTTTCCCAGCCCGGTGTTAGCAGTTTGCTAGGGACTCTGGGATCCAGATTTTGTCAGCTGCATAAGGTAATTCTGGATGTCACTGTATTCATGGGATCCTGTCAAGAGTCTTCTGTTTGGCCCTTTACATTTCTTGGACAAGCTGTGACAGTTTCCTGCTCCCTTTCCACCCCCTTGAATTCTCTTCCAGCCTCACTCCTTTCTTGAGCTTTTACCAGCCTATAAACTAATGTCTTCTCTATTCCCAAGGGGACTAGCCTTTTTGTCATTCAGCTCCATCTGTCCTCTGCTAATAATGGATCTCTCCGTCATTCCTCTTAGTTTTAAATCTTCCTTTGTTTATTTATTTTAATCCAGTGGTTAAATGTCTAGGTGTGTTCTTTACTGAGGCCCAGATACTTGCTGTTTTCTCCTCACTGTACACAACCCAGTGTGCTCTGGACAGGCCTCCTCAACCTCAGAGGCACAGCCTGGGACCGCAGTCGTTTCCGTGCAATTTCATCTCTAGTCTTTGCTTCCCTGTGAAGCCAAGCCGCGGTGGGCCGTGTAATGTGAGAAGGACCTCTTAGCCACATTGAGTGGCTGTAATGAGTTGCCAGCCTCGTGGGAACTCAGATCAGAGGAAGCAAGAGAGCAAAATGTCAGCCCAGATTATCCATGTGGAGCTGACGGAAGAACTGGCTCTTAGTGGGTCCATTAGCTGCGTGACCCATGGCCCGGCCCAGAAGGTGAGAGCTGGGAATCGAGGGAGGCCAGGATGCCGTCTGCATGGCCCTGGCTGCTTTCCTGCCAGAGGGAGGACTCTGCCAAGATGGTACACTAAGTGTAAGTAACCAGAAAAGAGGAAGGTGTGGCGCCAGTTCCTTCTTCCGTTCAACAGTTGCTCACTGGACATCAGGCAAGGCACTGGTGAAACAACAGTGAACCAGACCTAGCTCTCAGCCCTCGCGCAGCTTGTATTGAATAGTTTTATGTTATTGCAAAATAATCAAACCCCAAGTAACAGCAGTTCTAGCTCTCTGTGCATTGTCAAGTTTCCTGACTAGCATAAAAGCAAGAATATCAATAATGAGCTTTATAAAGTTCTGTAGAACTAGAAAAGATATAGAAGTCTCTCATTGCTTCCTTCTCCCAAACATAATACCATGGGGAAAATTGTTTTGCTACTATGTCTGCCTCTAGGAAGATCCAAGGGAAAGAGGATACTCCACTACACATTGGTTGTGGTAAGTTATGAGAGTTAGGTTTTAAACTTCCCTGGATGCCACAGGTATCCTACATTACAAGGATGGGCAATTAATCTCACTCACACAAAAAATAGGATAGACATCAGGCCATCCTTGACTTCTCAGGAAGCAATATATGATGTTTTACCTGTCCGTACTTTCTAGGGCTGCTACAAATAACCTCTGTCCCCACCTTCCTGCCAGAAAAAAAGTTGACAGGTAGCACAAACACATACAACCCATTAAAGTCAGGATTTGCCTAGTCAAGTCAAGTGGGGCTTTGTCCCCATCACACATATGTATAGTTGCTTGTACCTACTGCTATGCCAGAAACATGGCTCAGAACTTGGCACCCTGTTTTGGAAGAGGGGGCATTGCCAGGAAGCCCACAAATGGCATCTGAAACTGGAACTCTTCCCCCTTCACAGCTGGCTCCATGGGGCTCTTACTTTAGAAAAGCATATCACTCTTTCCTCTCCAAACCTACATATCACAAGCTTCTGGGCTGCTTTCACCCTGGGCTGCAATCTGTCGAGTTATTGAAATTGGATGAGACAATTTATATTTGACACCACTCCTCATTAGGGTTTTCTTGTTCTGTGTGCTCTGTTTCAGCATTGGTTGGAGTTTACGAAGTCTGTGGTGAAGCAACTGCGGTGTAAGTATTCTCTGAAAACACTGAAGCCTCCTCTTAGGGTGTGTGGGGTGAGTCCTCCAAGTTGTAGTAAATCTTGGTAATTTTTCACTATGTTGGGTATAAGTTGGCCCTAAACATGGGAGGATTTTCTTTTGATGGGGAGGGAGCCCAGTCACCTTCTGGAGAGGGGCTGCCCTCATGGACACCTCTTTTTCTCTGCAGCCCAGCCTCCATTTACCATGTGTTTCCGTGTGAAGTTTTACCCTGCAGACCCGGCTGCCCTGAAAGAAGAAATAACCAGGTGAGACTGAACACACTTACCTGAGCCACTAAGACCCACAACCTCATAGATCCTCTGGTTTAGTAGCTCCTAACTCTTATAGACAGAGAATACTCCCTAAACTAACCTTCTATATTTCATCCATGTGCTTTCTTTGCTCCTTCTCCCAGTAGAACTGGAACATAATGAGCTTCTTTCCATCAAGAAATATGAAGACTTAAACTGGTCATCCACAGAGGGATCTGGAGTAACTAATTAACCAGAAAGCACTTTTTCCTATCACTTATAATGTGGCCACTGTGGATGTTCTGGAGAGGGCTGTGTTGCTGCTTATTTTGGGGACTGAAAATAGACTCTGGTGGCCTAATGTACTTGAGAGATGCCAAAGCATGACACTGAAAGATAAGCTGGAAAATACTGAAGGTTTTAAATCCAAGTGGGTAAACTCCAGTGTGCTGCTGGATCAAGTCCGTGATAAACTCTTTATTGTGGGGATCATGTTCTGTGGCAGGCAGACAGCTGCATAGAATGAACCCTGTCTCATCCAGCACCACTTGAGGATGAGAAAGAACCTCTGTGCCTGCAGACATCCTGCAAGAGGGTCAATGAATAAGAGCCTCAAAGCTTCCCCGGGCTTTTGTATATTTGAGCCAAATTCACTCGATAAAAGTCTTGCCTCAGAGATTCAGGAACTTTCTCTAACAGGAACCCTTAATTTTTATATTAGAAAGATACAATCTTGACATAAGTAAAACCTTGATCTTCCCTTATAGAAGGGCAGGGAGAGGAAGTCATAAGTGTTAAGCAGCTAATTTCTGAGCAGTGCAAGAGAAAGCCAGTCCAGGTCATCATCCAGGCCCTGGTCAGTACATCCGCTTCACCAAGTCAGCAAACGTCAAGGGCACTGACAAGCGTGTGAGCCCCTCCTCCCTCCATATGAGTCTGTGCTGTCACGCGTCTCTACTCTTTGCCTCTCACTGTCCACCTCAGCAGCTTCCCTTCCCTAGAATGCCACCTCCAAGTGTCGTCAGGAGTGTGAACCACAGGATTCCAGGACCTGACTGGGAGTCTCTGTGCCTTCCCCTCCCTGAGGCATTCTGTGGAGGTCACGGAGTCTTTCTGTTCACATCCCTGGCTGATCTGAAGAGAGTAGGTACCTGCCCCAATTGCACTCAGTACCCATAATTCATTCCTGGCTCAGAGCCTGCACTCCACCTTCCTGCCAAACTAATTTAGCTGTCAGTGTTTTTTCCTAGCAATATGGGTCCTAAATTTCCCTGCCATCTCAGCCATTCCCATAAAGCCGGGCTGAGAGGAGGGGATGAGGTAGGGAGTAAAGAACTGTGCTTCAATTTATCTCTTGGACTCTTTCCAGATGATAAATTTAGTTGCCAAATCCTGATTAATCTCTTTTGTCATTTTTTTAAGTAATAAATAGATTTCCTTGTCTGAGCTAGAGACAAGACAGAGAAAATGGGGATTAGGTACCAGATTTAGCTTTTAACAGGGACTGCAGGTGTATGAACTCTTTGGAAAGATCAGGTAATAGAAGGAGAGACTGCGTGCAAATGGGGCCCTATCTTGCAAGGAAGCAACTGTCTGACACATGTTTGAGCAGGTGCTCAAAAAAAAAAAAAAAAAGTTCATAGAATGAATGCATGTATGCTTGAGAGAATAGAGTTTTTAGGTCACTCATTCCTTTGATGAATATCATTTGAACCTTCCTTAAACGAAGATGGGTTGGCAAACTCTTCACGTAAAAGGTCAGACAGTAACTATTTTAAGCCTTGTGGGACATATGGTCTCTGTCACAACTATTGATTTCTGCCATTGTCATGCAAAAGCAGTCATAGACGATGCACAAATGAATGAGCATGGCTGTGTACCAATAAAATTTTATTTATTGGAAATTATGGTGGCAGGCCATCTTTTGCCAATCCCAAACCAAGGAATCAAAAAGACCTGGATTCAAATCCCAGATTGTCCTTTAACTAGGTTTGTGACAAGGCAAACTACAATATTTTTCTAATCATTCACTTTCCTCATCTGTGAGGCAGAGTTAAACATAGTAGTTATCTCATAGAGTTGTTTGAAAGGGTTAAATGAGAGGAAAGTGTTAAATAGTACAGCGTGTGGAGCAGCACACACTTAGTCAATCATTATTATTGTGTTATCTCTTCCCCCTGGAATGTAAGCTCCAGAAGAGACTGATTTGTCCCTTGCTGTGTTCTCTGCACCTGTGGCAGTGCCGGCACACACTGTAAGTGCCCAGAACTCAATGGGTGGATGGATGAGTAGGTGAGTTAGGTACAGGATATAGAGGATCTCTAGAAGAATATTAAAATGAAACAAAATCTGACTTCAAGGAGAATGCGGTGGTGAAAGAAGACATTCTAAACTTGATTACAGTTGGGAAAAAAGGATGGTAGAAAATAGAGGAAACTGGGGCAAAAAATCTGAAAGGAAGGTGAAGGGCAAGGAATCTTCTGGAAGAAACTCTTTAGCCACCAAGGCTTTCCAGAGTTCCAAGCCTTTATTTCTAGAAATATCTGGATTCATCCCCACCTTCCCATCTCAGGACACACAATGCCAAAGCTAATACCTTGGAGACCACACTAGCATTAAAACAAAATGGAGGTATAGTAAAGTCTCATCGAAATCAGAAAGAGGTAAGTAATGTTTTTTTTTTAAAAAAAAAAGTGTCCCAAGGAACAGCTTGTCTTAAATCTGGTCTCAACCTGATAGCTTCTTTGGTTCCGATGGAGACTTCTCTCGATGGCAAAGAGTCTCTTGACTTTTTTAGGACCTTTCTCTGAATTTCCATGGGGAGGAGAAAAAGCAGCAGGCCTGGAGTCAGGAGGCCTTGAGACTGACAATTCACTGTATCTCTCTAGACTTCTATCTCCTCAGCTATAAAACAAGAGAATTAGACTCTGTAACTCCTTTCCTTCCCCTCTCTCCCTCTTTCCTTCTTACCCACTCTTGCCTGGACCCCTCCCCCCAACCATGTGGCATTTCACTGTGGGAAACTGTGAAGACAAACTTGATTTGGTAGGGTCATCTTAGTTCATGATGTCTTTTTCAGGGGGCTGAGTGGGGTTCATGGTGGGGGATGGAGCGACAAGGGAATTCTTACTGACTTCCAGATTATAGTACTCACCTTCCCAGACCATCCTGATGCAATTAATTAGAAGGATGCTTTTGAGTTTTCTTAAGACAGTGCTTCTTAAGCTTAATTTATGTACAAATACAGATCTCATTAAATGGCTCCAAGGTTCTAAAGATCTCATTAAAATGACTGAGCTAGTCCAGGATGGGCCTAATGCTCTCCATTTATAGCAAGCTCCCAGGTGCAGCTATGGGCCACATATGGAGTGGCAAAGGCCTTAGAAGATAAGAAGGTTTGACTGTTCCTTCATTTCTGCCTGTAAATTGCTTGAATCACCAAGCCCAAGACTCAGAGGCACCTGCTGGCCCCCTTCCCCACCACCCCCAGAGGTTGTGCTGTCCATAGTCTTCTCCCACTTGAGAAAGTTTCACATGATCAAGTGGGCATGGAGTCCTGTTTATTCTTCAGTCTGAAAACAAGCAATGGAAGCCTCTAGTTATCCAGCGTGGGCCCAATTACCTTTTGATTCAGACTGATGGGCTTTAAGGGAATCTTACCACATTTTCATTACTCCCTTAGGAATGCTGTAGTTATCAATGACTGTCTAACAAAACACCACAAAGTCTCACTTAAAATAACCGGCATTCATTATCTCACAGTTTCTGTGCATCACAGACTCAGCAGCGGCTTAGGTGGGTGTTTTTGGCTCAGGGTCTCCCGTGGGGTTGCAGTCAAGAGGTGGCTGTGGCTGTGGTCACCTGAAGACTTGACTGGAAGGTTCACTTCCTTGATGGTGCTTTCACATGACTATTAGCAGGAAACACCAATGCCTTGCTGTTGGCAAAGGCCTCATTTCCTTGCCACTTTCTATAGGGCTGCTTCACTGTCCTTGAGCAGAATGAGTGATCCAAGAGAAGGAGAGAACAAGGAAGAAACTGCAACGTCATTATGACCCAGTCTCGGATGTCAGACACCATCACTTCTGTTGTATTTTGTTAGAAGCAATTCACTAAGTCTGGTTCACACCCAAATGGAGGGAATGAAGCTCTATCAGTTGCAATGAGGAGCATCAGATAATTTGTGGATGTATTTTAATTTTATTTTTATTTTTTTAAAGATGTATTTATTCATGCATACAAGAGCTGGGGCACAGGCCAGAGATGCAGGGGGTGAGAGGGTCCACCAGAGACAGAGTGGGGAGCAGAACAGGCAGATTGACCGAAACACACTGCCGAGGGGAGCAGCGGGCAAGACAGGAGAGGTCTGCTGCACCATGTGGGTAGCTCCCTGGCTGGCCGGGGATGGAACTTGTGCTGCAGAGGCTGTGGATTGCTTCACAGTGCGGTGCTCAACCCCTTGCACCACCAGGGAGGCCCAATTTGTGGACGTATTTTTAAACCACCATAGATACCCTCTTGCCAAGGAGCCAGTGTGGTAGGTGATTAACTCAGGGGTTTGATACTCTTAGTGGACCTGCAAGTTGATGAACATAAAGACCTGCTCCTTGTAATAATATTTCCAAATGGAAAGTCAACAATTCTGTTTTACTCTATCAGAGACCACCCAAGTTACTGGAATTACTCAGGAGTCACAGTGCAGGGAAGACAGTGTATTTATTGCGAGCCAACTTCAGGAGTCTAGCAGGGCTGAATTTGTTTTTTTTTTTTTTTTTTTTTTACATCATTATTCATTCTCCTCTCAGGTGTAATCCCCATAAAATTCCCACCACCAAGACACCCATGAACCATCACCATGGTCCCTTGTGCTCTTCCCACCCCTGTTTTGATCCCTTCCCCTGCCCCCCATGTCTCCCATTTATAGTTTGCCTGCAAGTTGTTTTTTCCTAATCCCTTGTTTGATTTCCCTGTGTTCCTATAGTGAACCTGTAAGTTTCCTTCTGACTTATTTCACTAAGCATGATCCCTTCCAGCTCATCTATGTTGCTGCAAATGGCATGAGTTTATCTTTTTTTGATTGCTGACTAGTATTCCATTGTGTATATCTACCACATCTTCTTGATCCATACAGTCATCTGTTTTTCAGCATTTAGCTTGTTTCCATTATCTTAGCTTTTAAAAATAGGGCCAAACAGGGCTGAATATGAATCCTGACTCTACTACGTACCAGGTGTGTGTCCATGAGAAAAACATTTAAGTCTCAGTATCTTTATTTTAAAAAAAAAAAAAAGATAATTACAGTGTCTGTCTCAAATTTGTTACATGAGAATTAAAGGAGAGAGTGCATGTAAGGGGTGCAACACCCACATGGGCAAATGGTAAGTGCTCACTACATGTCACTGCTACCAGCTGCCGTTTTCTTTCTATCTATCCCCCTGAGTTGAGAGCATCCTATATTTGAAGAAATACTAGCCACAAGTTTCTGTACTTCCTTTACTGGGTACCTCTTCAAGCCTTATTCAAATTCCGAGAGATCTGGTTGATCTGTGCGATAATTGAAGGCTTATCTACAAATGGACAGGTTTTCTTGGCCAGCTGGGGCAACCAATTCCTTGGGCTAATTCCTCTAACATTCCACCCATCAGCCAGAGTCTGAGGTGAGAGAGGCCTCAGAGGCCTGCTCTCACCAACACAGGTTTCTGTCTCTGCACTGAATTGACAGGTGCTGGCTCTTCTCAATGCCCAGCACGGCGGGAACAGTGCTTGCCCATGAAGTGCCATTTCTATTTTGAGCTACAGAAGGAAACTGATGGGTTGTTTTGAATTGAACCAAAAATCAGTTCAAGGCAAAGTACTTGAAAGAGTCTCTGGGGAAACAGAAAATATATTTATTCTATGGTAGGTTTTGAGATTTTTTTTTAATATAGTGAAAGGGTCCTGGCAAAGATTTTATAGGTTTGCATTACATATTTATGTCTTTAACACAATCAGAGAAATCCTTTATGGTTCCCTCTGTGTTTTCGCTCCAGGTATTTAGTCTTTCTACAGATCAAAAGGGATCTCTACCACGGCCGCCTCCTCTGTAAAACATCAGATGCCGCCTTGTTAGCAGCTTATATCCTTCAAGGTAATGACTTTTGACAGGGATAAATTTGCTTTTCATGCTAAGTGCTGAGTACATTATTTCCGTTACCACAGATGACTACTTCTTAGATATAAACAGTATCTAACTTGAAGCTGACTCTTAGAGGACTTAGCCTGGACTCCCTGAACCTAGAAATTTTTTTTCCCTTTCATGCAAATCTCAAAGATGTGAATTATCTTGGAATTCCTGTATCTATCTCAGAGACCTTTCCATTCACAGTGCCCAAAGTGAAAAATGTTTCCAAGTAATATATTTCCTGACATGCTGATAGGAGTTGAGTCTGTACCCAGCTGATGCCCAGTCTGGCTTTTTCTGGAGGGGGGAGACTAGCAGAAAAGGAATGTACTGTTCATATATGATCCCTTCTCTATCAATAACTATCAGGGTTTCCTAAGTGCCACTTCTAGATTTTTCTTAGTCCTCAGGCCTGAACCTGTCACTGGCTTGATCATTTTGGGCCACAGCAATAAATTCATGAAATTTCCCTCAAAGAATCTGAACTCTTACTTGGAAATCTGTGAATTCCAGGCAGCTACTTTGTGAAGAGAAACTGAGAAGTGCTTGCCAATAAGAAACTAAAGCTCTTCTGGCAAGAGAAGTATCACAGCTGCATTAAGAATGTGAAAGTCAGCCTATTGCAACTTTGATTCCTGAGATTCCTGTTTTAAAGATCACCTAAATGGAAAGTGTAGAAGGTGCTTGCCAACTCTAGGATACCAAACGATGCTCCTTCCATTTTATACTGGCAATCACATTGGAATGTTTTCTTTTTCCTTTTTTTTCCCCCTCCTTTAAAGAAGTATTTGATGTCCAACATTCATGTTCTCCACTTGGAGCTTTCCAAATAAAATCATCATAAATGACTTCATGGCTCGAGGTCACTCCAGACTTCACACCCAAAGAAACCTTTAGTTTCATGCTAAATGATACACTTTCCAAGTAACTTGGAAAGTGCGATGAGTAGATCTGTGCCATAAGTACAGTATTCAGCTGGGCAAGAAAGGCACATTTGGTCCTCCCTCAAGGCCCAGCTGTACTGGTCGTGGCTCCTCACTAGGGAAGCAGAAAGGACAACCACAAAACATCTAGAATTTCTTATCATATTTCCTCTTAGCATCCCATGTTCCTGATGGACTACTTGATACAGAGAAAGCTGGGTTCTGACCTGGGAACACGCCATCAAGAGCACCACGGGCCACTGCCCTCCCAAATTTCCCTTATCTAAGATCTCAGCCTTAGGAACGGGCTCGCTCTGTGTGAGGGCAGAAGAGGGCTGCCCCACACCAAGCAAGAGATCGAGAAGCCCTAGGACCTGGTGCTCCTGAACACGACACTTGCTGGTCACAGTCAGTCTTCCCGCTCCACAGTCCTCTCCGAGGGGCCTGCCACCTGGTCAGCCCTCGGGTATTTATTCAAATGATTTGATTTGATTTGAACTGAGAGTTGAGTTCTGAGTTTGGATCATGGCATCTTCATTAATTTGCTGCTCAGTCCTTATGCATAGCAGATCCCCTAAAACAAGATAGACTTCTCATCTGGCTCATGCCCAAGAGGTTCTGTCTTCCTGATCAAGCCCAAATCCCTCAGTCCCCTCTGCTGATGGGTGAGGACTGCCCTGCAGGCTTCTATTCTTTTATTGTAAATTTACTTGTGACCTCAGAACACTGGGTCTGCTCCACTGACTGCTTAGAGTTGATACCATCCCAGGGTGCACACCTGGGTGTGCAAGGTAAGCATGCACCTGAGCCTTGCTTGGAACCAACTGTTCTTTGTAAACCTGGCACGTGCTTTGGCTTTTGCTCTGTGTGTTAGTCTCTTGCTTTGCCAGTGATGATCTCCATAACGGTTTGCCTCTACTTTCCTTTTGCAAGCGGAGATTGGGGATTATGACCCAGGGAAACACCCTGAAGGCTACAGCTCCAAGTTCCAGTTTTTCCCTAAACATTCAGAGAAGCTGGAAAGGAAAATTGCTGAGATTCACAAGACGGAACTCAGGTACATGCCATTCAGTTTAGGCCCAGGGCTGTCTCTCCCCACAGCCTGATTATGGGCTCCGCTCTGTGCCTCTGCTTCTGTGCACCCAGGTCCCCTGTCAGCACAGCCCCAGCCCTCTGGGCTCAGCTGCTGTGAAGAATGTTACAGGCTGAGGTTTAGAGGAAAGAGAATTTGTAAGGAAAACAGAGAAGGACTAGCCTCTGAAAGGTATTCGTTTCACTAAGGTAAATGAAGAGGGAAGCAGCATGAACTGGGAAGAAAGGAAAAGGTAAAAAAAAAAAAGAACGAAAAAAAAGAGGGCACGCGTGCTCCCCTCAGCCAGTGACAGAGAGACATGTGGCTCTGGGTGGGCAGCTGGGACTGCACAGGTCTGGGCTGATTCTGAAATGCTGTGGCCCTCACGTTAGCTTCAGCACTGCCGTACCCAGCCCCAGAAGCTGCAAAGGGGGAAAGAGAGATGCAGCTGAAAAGTTTGAGATTTGCCCTCGGGAAATGCTAAATCTCCTAAAACAGCGTTGATGCATGTTTTCACCCAAATGAAATAGGATGTTCCACAGAAATTGACTTAAAATACACAGTCGGGCCTTGGGCTCCAGTTCATGTAGCTTACTAGAGCAGACCCCCAAACTAATGTTACACAATCCAATGTTAGAAAATAAAGCATGCCATCATTTTAAAATCACAATTTAAAAAATTGTTTTCAAATGTTTGTGTAACTGTCTTTCTGGGGAAGGACAAACCCAAGGTGGGGGGAAGATATTTCTAATGATTGTATTAAACTAGCTCCTATCCTGACCCTACTCTTTTGCACACTCACTCACGCACGCGCGTGCACACACACACACACACACCCCAAAAACATTCACCTTCACGCAAAGATTTTGCCAACAAATACATCCTTAATGTGTGCACAGACCTCCAGCCCATTGGGTGTGGCAAGATCCGTGTCCCACCCTCTCCTGGGCAGATGCCATCCCCTCTCCACCTGCCTGCCCACCCAGGCGCCTCCTCTCACTCTCGCTAGGGAAGTAGCGGCCCCTTGTGGTGAAAGTATGAATAAGCACAGACCTGTGAGGGTGCAGGGTTCATTCAGAGTTTTTGTGCTGAGCCAGTGGGAGGCACTGCCAGGAGGATTTGAGGCAATGTCAGAGCAGTGGGGACAGTCCTGCAGAAACCTAATATGACATGGGGATCTCCCAGGATATGATGCCTACTTTGAGGGCTCTGGAGATTTGAGCCAGTTCCAGGGTGAACGGAGCCCACGGGATCCACCAGCACCCAAACAGGGCACCCAAGCAGCTGCCTCTGATGCCCACCCCTTTGCCCACACAAAGGCAAATAGGCAAACAGTTCCCTGTGTCCTGGCGCACTGGTAGATGTAGAAGTCTGCACTCTGCTTACACAGTTCTTACTCCAGTCCAGCCTCTTCATAATGTAAAAATAATGCTGCTTTTCTCCAACTCTAACTTGAGTTCCTTGAGAGCCCACACTGTGCTTATTATTTCTTGGTGTATTTTAGAGCAAGCAGCACAGAGGCTGGTATATAAAGGTGCTGCTTGATTGCTCTCTCTCCAGAGTGACACCAGAGGGATTCTGGCCTGTTCCCGCCCTTGGGTTGGCTTGTCTTCCTTCCTTGCCATCACATGAGACACATGAACTTAGAAATGAGCAACCTTCTGCCCTGCCCACAGTGATTGTGTTGACTTCACAAAGTGCCCACTTCCTCACACTGAAGCCATCCCTATGAGAGCCTGGTGGTTCTGTGTTCTGCTAAGGAAGGGAACAATGCTGAAGGCTCTGTCTTCAGAGAGCTTGGTCCCAGTGTTGGTTTCTTTTTCTGTTTGTCTCCTTTTCATAGTCATCACCCTGTGGACACACAGAGCTACTGTGGAGTCTGGGGAGCTCAGAGCTGTCTCTTACTGTGCCTCATCATCCTTTATTCCTGTGTTCCCTTTTGGTAAAAGAATAGGGCTAGGTGGCACCAGCAAGATACACAGTCCTTTCTTTGTATTTCACAGACAAGAAACCCATGGCCTGTAGCCAACCTTCAGATTCATTTTGTTTGCCTGCATGCTATTTAAAATTATGAAATGCCACATAAAAATAAGTATCTCTGACTTATCTGTAAAAATTGCTTCTAGCAGTGCTGTGCCTTGCTTTCCCACATAACAATCTCAGAGTTAAGGAGCAGCTGCCTCATTAGATGGGGTAACGTGCCAGTTTGCCACAGTCTCCACCACTCCATATTGTTTGACATTCAGCCTATATCTTCCATTATGTAGGCTGCCTCAAAGTTTTTGACCCTAGATACAAATCTCTGAAGTTAGTCCTAGAACAGAGCAATGAGCACACTCTATGGAAAACGGATGTTTTTCTCACCCCGAGACCTTTTTAACAGAGCTTAGCTGAGGGGAACCTATCGGAAACCCTGAAATTATCTTTTTTTTATTCCAGTGGTCAAACACCAGCAACATCAGAACTGAACTTTTTAAGAAAAGCACAGACATTGGAGACATATGGAGTGGACCCTCACCCGTGTAAGGTGAGTAGCCCATGGCTGGAGACGACACTGAACTTGCCCCCTCTAGAGGGCGACAGGTATTAGGGGACCACAAATCTGTGCCTCTCAGATCTGAATGATGGACTCCTATTTTAGTGACAGATGCCAAAGAAAATATCTCATTTTGGAAAATCCCCTGGATTCCATGCTACATAATTTTATGGTGCCACATCAATGTCATAGGGACCGAGGCAAAGTCCATCTAAATAACAAATCAGAAACCGGGACTCCACTTTGGCAGCAGTGGGTAATTTGGTGGAAATGAAGAGAGGAAGAATATGGGAGGCCCCCCACAGGGAATGATCTGAGGCAGCTCAGCAGATGCCCACCCTTCTCTGACCCGTAATCTAGTTTCTTTCCTAGAGTGGGTTTTATTGACTTCCAGCGTAAGTCACCTCGCGGAACTGCGGTGAAATCACATTTAATTCCATTACGTGCCTGTGAGGGTGAGACAGAAACCAATCGAGGAGGCTCTGCCCCAAGAAAAGCTCTGTTATTACTCACAGCACATCTGGCATTTTGGGGATGAGTTCAGGCAGCCACAGGGGAAGCGGGAAGTGCGGTCTCCTCCTGTTTCTCCGAGGCCATCTCCCTCCACTTTATCTCCCCATCCTAGTTGCTGACAGTCATGGTCTCTGCCTCAGCTTTTCTACATTTCTGCATGATTCTATTACCAGAGAGGCCCCAATACCACCGGTAAAACTGATTCTCAAACAGATCCGAGAGCAATAGTATCCAGTGGGAGCAGGAGAACATTGACTTTTTCTTTCTAATAGGAGAGGGGACACACTCAGTTTCAACAAAAATTAAAATACTAGAACAGAAACCAAGAAACCCAGGGAGTGGTGACAGAGTGGCACACCCCTTTGGGAAGTGATGGTGATTTGTTTGGGCTGAGGATTTAGTGTAGATACTTCAAATATGAGCTCTGAGAACATTCTGACACTCAGAAACCTTGCTCACCTTACCCACCTCGCAGTTTCCTCTCCTCCAGCACAGCCTACTGCCAGCTAAGCCCGTTTCTTGGGGGTCAGCGCTGTCAGAAAACATTCATGCCTGTTTATACCTAAAATTTGACATGAATTTTACAAAGGAATTCGTCAAGCTTCCTAAATAAAGGCCTCTGCATAACAGATACAGTTTAAGCTCCACAAGTTGCCCAGATACTATCGGCTGGGTTGTCCGTAGGACTGAAGGTAGCTTTGGGTCAGCTGGCCTCCACTCCAGTACATGACCCCTACTTAGCGGAGCCTTCGGTGATTTCTCCAAGCCTCAGTTTCCTTATCTGTATGAACAAACCCAGTATGTTCTCAATAACTGCTCCCAAAACTGCCAAGTTGGACTCCAAGACCAAAACGATAAAGCTGCCTAAAAACAGATAGGCTCATCAGAAGGTGCCAGGTCACCCGCTGCATCTGACTCCAATCCTGCCCAGCCCCCTTGAGGCTACACAGTGTCCACCTCTTCAGAGGTAGGTCCCCGGGCAGGCCTGTCACCTGGCAGCACATACAGGCCCAACTGCATAGAGGCGGTGGCGGGGGTGGGGGTTCTCCATGGTTGCCATGGAGTTCTGGAAGCCACAGTGGAAGCCAGCAGGGCGTCCAGACCAAATCCACAGGTGCCCTCGGACTGTGGGCTCCTGGCCCAGCCCTATCTCTGACGAGTTTGTGCATTGTCAGCCAGAGAGAGGTTGATGAGGCTGCAGGAAGGAACTGTCCTTCATATCAGCACAGTGTGAGGTCCAGTCCCACATAACTCAGTATCCCACAGCATCAACTCCTAGACAGAAAGGGGGAGGAGATGTCGGTGGCATGCCTTCCACGCCAGGCTCACTAGAATCCTTCATGCTGTTTTCTCCTTTAACCCTCATTCCACCTCTGGGAGGTAGATATTAGTCTTCCTGTTTTATAGATAAAACTAAAGTTCCAGGAAGCCAGAATTTACAAGGCCTTGAGTGGCAGAGCAGGAATGTGACTCAAGTGCCTTGCTGCTGTGATATTCTATATGCAACAGAAGGCCCAGGAGACGTCCTCTGGGGAGAAGGTGGGTACAGTCCTCTCACTGGGCTTCCACATTCCCCGTTCCTGGGCCCTGCACTTCATGCTCACCCATGGCCAAGTCAGTGCCCTGCTCATGTCAAACCAAGACTCCAGCTCTTGGTTTCTTTTTTTTTAAGATTTACTTATTTATGCATACAAGAACGGAGGTGTAGACCAGAGATGCGGGGATTGTGGGGGGATGTGAGAGGATTCACCAGAGACAGAGTTGGGAGCAGAAGAGGCAGATCTACTGAAATACACTGCTGAGGGGAGCAGCGGGTGAGACAGGGAAGGTCTGCTGTGCCATGTAGCTCCCTGGCTGGTGGAGGAGCGAACTCGTGCTGCAGTGGCTGGCAATAGCTTGACAGCGCCGTGTCTTTAATCCCTGTGCCACCAGGAAGGTCCCTTCAGCTCTTGGTTTCTTCAGCCCTCCTAAGCAAATGGTTTGGGAGCCTTTACTCTTGTCATTAAGTAGAGTCACTTTGGTGATACGCTATCAAGCACTTGCCTTAATGTTGCTACAAGGAGAGCTGACATAGGCTGGAGCACTCAGTGTAATAAATACTGATGATTTCTATTAACAGAGAGGCAATTACTGGGCCCAGGGAATCTGGGGCACGCAGCCCTAGGGAGGACAGAAGAAGAAGAATCGTTTTGATAATTAAATGAGAGCAGAGCAACGCTTCAGCTGGGCTCTGTTCTCCTGAACTGATTAAGAAGATTCTAGTCTTCCTGTCCACACTGATGGTTTCTTCTGCCCTAGTGTCCTTGTCTGGCCCTGGGACCAGGGAGAGGAGATCCGAGTTCTGGGTGGGACAGCCAGAGGACTTCCAATAATAACCAAACTTGAACTTGCACAAGCTGTCCTGAATGCTTTGCATCCCCACTCCGAACCCCCCAGCAGACCAAGCCTGCCGCCACAGGAGGAGCGTGGAGCAAATGTCTGGCAGCCGAGGGTTGCATCTGTTCCCCAGCTGACCCACCTCCACTGTGCTCCTGCCAGGGGACCCTGAGAGAGACGGATTTCCCTGCGTCTCCTGCAGGCCTGGACTGTCACATCTTGTCCTGTTGACGTTGGAACAGCTAGACCCATCACAGATACCCAGTCTTTTCCCACCTTATTATTACAAGTCACAAAGGTGCCATTTATTGAGAGCTTGCATGTTCCAGGCAGCTACACACACTAGCTTATTTGCCGCTGCCAAAAAGATATTCCTGTCCTCGTTATAAGATAACAACACTGAGACTTCGAGGGACTAACTACTGCATCCACAGTTACTGATAAGGACAGTCCTGGGACTCAACCCAGAGTTGTGAGTCTCAGTGCTGTGCTTTCAGATACCACTCACGGTCATTCTTCTGGATAGATGGCATTTATTTAGAAACAAGTTGGGAGTCATTGCCAGTTATATAGAGGGAAAGACTTAGGAAACTGCTCAAATTCTCTTATAAAAAATTAATGTCAGTTCGCCAGTGGCTTTATGTCTAGTTAGTGCAGACCAGGAGAAAATGGATCTCAGCAGAATCTAAGATCAGCCATACAAACAAAAGTAGTGTTTCATCTGCTGCTCTCAGTATAGGAACATTACTTTCATAACCCAGCCACCTAAATAAACTCCCTTCCCATCTTGACAAGTTACCCCTGACCTCAGAGAAACAGAACTAAAGGATGCGAGGGGACTGGCCCTCATCCTCAGGTGGACCCTCGGGGTTGCACTGTGGGGAGGTGTTAGGTTTACTGATGAAACTAAGAACTTGACTGAAGCCTCTCAGATTCTACTGAGAATCCTGCTCCCGAGTTGTTAAGGGTAACACCAAGCCCCTTATGGCCCTTCCACCTCATCTCTACTCCAGTGTCTCACGGCTGAGTCTAAGTATATTGAAACTGGGTGATTTTCATGACAGATTTACTGTAAGGGTTCCCAGCTGTGAGCTTCTTCAGGTCTGGGTGTATGTGTCTGGAAGAGCGTGTGGAATCTGTTTTCCTAGGTTAAGAATAATAGAAGTTTCACCCACCAGATTGAATAAGTTTAAGAGTGCCCTGGACCTGACTCCACCAAGAATGCCATGGACCTGACTCCACTAGTTAGGGTGTCCTCTGGGCAGCAGCAGACAGAAGCCTACTGTGCTATATAAAGAGGTAGAACCTACAGGATCTGGGTACAGGGGACCAGGTCACCCTAATTCAAAGAACCAGTCAGTGCTGTGATTTCCAAAATCATTTTCTGGGCAGAGTGACTCAGTGCAAACCCACCCCCTCTCCAAGAAGCACTGCTGACCGTGTCCGGGCAGTGAGGCATTTCTGTCATCTCCCTAAAATCAGATGCCGGTACTATTTCTCAAGGTATGTACTACTGTCCTCATTTTACAATGAGGCTACAGAAGTAAGCAGAGTTAGGGTCCTGACCCAAGAACAAAGCTCTTTCCACAGGATGAAAACTTGACAAATTTTTTACCTCACAACTGTCGAAGTGAACTAGATTCTTTTTACCATTTTCTGCTGGAAAGGGGGGCTAGTGGGAACCACCGTGTAGCTGTCAAGACCCAATTTTTTTTTTTTTAGTTTTTTTTTAAATAAATTTTATTCTTATATTCCCCATACAATTGCAACCCCCTTATTTTGACCCCAATCCCTCCCCTCCCCGCCCCCACGCCTCATAGAGTGTCTTTGGTTCATAGTTGTTTGTTGGTTTTGATTTTTTCTTTCTTATAGTTATTCATTTTCCTGGTCCCTTATTTAAGTTTTCTAGATTCCTGCTATGAGTGAGACCAACCGGTATTTTTCTTTTTCTTTCTGGCTTATTCCGCTGAGCATGATCCCTTCTAGCGCCATCCATGTTGCTGCAAATTGCATGTGTTTATCTTTTTTGATTGCTGAGTAATATTCCATGGTGTATATGGACCACATCTTCTTGATCCAGTCATCTATTTTTGGGCATTTGAAGACCCAAATTTTTATTCCACCTCTCAGGTTCGTTAACTGCTCAGTCCTGTGGCTGCTGATTTCAGGGGGATGGAAGGATGGACTTCAGCTTGATAACACGAAAGATCTGAGGAATACTTTACTACTGTCTCTGACATTTTTCTTGTGCCCACTTCCTTCTCTTGTTGTCATGTGCTTGTCCTTTTGCAATAAATCCCAAGGCAGGTTCACAAGGAGTGTGACATGTTAGAAGAAACTGGGAAAATCCCAGAGAAGGTGTCAGTGTGGCTGCCCGTGTTTTCGTGCTGGTAGAGATGTGAGGTTCCCCCCTCTCATTCCATGTCCTCGCCCCTCACGTGCCCAGCGGGAAAGGTCCCAGCTGTCCTCTCGCCCTGTGGACTCCAGCTGCAGGGCTTTGCAGCGGCCTGCAAACACAACTGTCGCATTGGACGCGCGTGGAGAGTTGCTCTCCCCATGTGAGACTGGAGCGGGATTGCACAAGCTGCTCTTAGTACTTACCAGAATGACGTGGCATCTTTTCGGGGTTATTCCCAGTTGGCTCCCTGTTCCAAATCTAGTCTAGTCAGGAAAGGCTGTTCCCCTCCCTTCACTCAGGCTGCCTCTAAGGTGTCTGGACGGTGCCAACCAGGTATGCAGCCAGCCAGCCATTTTAGGGGAGGGCCTTCTCCGCCCTTTGCGCTGGCCAGCCGCAGGCTGTCACTGGGTGGCTCGCTTAGATCCCAAACTGTCACAGCCTCTGTCTCCTTCCTGCCCGCATCACTTTCACTCAAAATTCCGAATGCACCACTCACGTCTCCCTCTCTACGGCTCCCTAAACAACGCATGACTCCCCCCGTCCTCCGCCAGCCTCCTACACGTGTTTCCCAACCAGAATATTTAAATCCATCGGCATCAGGAAAATACAGTAAAACATTAGGTGGGTTTTTTTTTTAATGATTTTGTATTCAGTTCAACCAACTCAGCTAATTAGTAGCAGCTATAATGATGTGAACAACCACACAGCCATTCGCACGCAGGGACACCTACTAAACACAGCGTCAGAGGCAGGTGATGTCATCTACCCTGGTTGGACCAGGAGAGTCTGACGCCCAGAGAAATGCAAGGATCTGGCCGAGGCCTCGCAGGCAGCGGGTGGCAGAGCCTCAACCGGGCCTGCACAGTCTGCCCCGGAGCCCAAGGCGCGCTGCCCACGGGGGAGCAGGGAGCAAGGAGGAGAGGGAGGCGCCCCTTCCTTACTCCACACGGTATTTCCCACCCAACCCTTTGTGCCCATCGTCTCTGTTCCTCCTTCTGGTCCTTTTCTGTGTCTCGGAGACACGAAGGCCCCTTCCCCACCTCTGCCTGCCCCCCTCGCTGTGGATCGCGTGCATACTTGCTCCGCTGCAGCCGGTCTGGTCCCTGTGGCCCCTCATTGTCTCCTGCACTCACTGAGGAACATTTCCTCCGGGCCTGTTCTGTACCAGTACAAATAAGGCGAGGTGCCCCCCCTCAGCTCTCCATCTTTCTAAACCTACAGTGCTCGAACTTCGCTGGGTCCTGGCCACCCTCTGTCTGAAGCTGCCTCCCTGCAGGCACCCCCTCTCCCAGCGCTCTCCCCCCGGAGCCAGCCTGCCCTGACCCATCTCTGCCAACCTTGGAGCGAGCACTGGTGCCCCTGGAGGGGCAGTGTTGGTGCTCAGGTTTTAGCGGCCACCACCGAGCACAGGTGACAGGCAGGAGGGAATCCAGCCCTCTGGCTTCACCAGATCCATTCAGATTGTTTTCAAACAGGCGTTGGCTGTGTCCGTGGGTGGAATGTGCTGGCAGCCCAGGGTCTGGGTCATGACAGACCCTGAGGAAAGAACAATAATAACACAATAATAATATCAGCACCTTAATTAGAAATGTTCACAAAACATACTTTGTTTACTCCCTGCTCAGACCTGTGATTCTAAGAGACCATTTTAAGGCACAGCTGTATTTTCCCTTGAGGCAAAGCTCACAAGGCCCTGCGGAGGCCCCACTGTTGATAAGTCCAGTCGGGCTGAAGACTGTGTCCTGAAGCAGGAAGAGACAGGAGAGCCGGGCAGCCTGGCCCGCTCACTTGCCTCCTGCGGGTGCCTGACTCGGACCCATGGCGCCATCTGCAGTGTGTGGCCCGGGCAGCTGTCCTGCCGGCACACTGAGCCCACGTCCTGGCATCAACTCCCGGCCACCTGAATACACTCGCACCCTAAAAGAACAGGTTCTCGTCTGAGGCCCCTACCACAAAGGAAGCACTTCTGAGATTTTGCCCATCAGCTCTCTGGGCCTGCCCCAGCCTAGAGCAGGGTCCTGGTCCTCTCGGCCACATCCTCCCGTGAGGGAGCCTCAGGGTCTGTCCCGCCCTGCCCCTCTGCTCGGCAGAACCTCCCGCCTAAGGCTTACAAACAGATGACGGGGACAGGAGGCCCCTGCTGGTTCAGGCCCAGGGGGCTGGTCACGGCTTTTCCACTTTGGTCCGAGCTTTTTTGAGATATAATTCACATGTCCCATAATTCATCCTACGTGGGCATTTCAGTGGCTTTTAGCATATTAACAGTTGTACAGCCATCAGCGCTACTTAGAACATTTTTATCACTTCAAAACAGAAACCCTGTACCGATTAGCAGTCACTTCCCACGTCTCCGCCCCCCCACAAGCCCTTGGCACCCAGCAATCCTCTGTGTCGCTGGATGGGCCTGTTCTGGACATTCCCCATGAATGGATCCTCAGTGACTGGCTTATTCCACTTAGCATGATGTTTTCAAGGGCCAGCCATGGCACATTGGGCATCAGTGTTTTACTCCTTTTTACCACCGAGTCACTGCCCGCTGTTGTGTGGGACACACGTTTGTTTCTTCATTTGTTGGTGAATATTTGAGTTGTTCCTACTCTTCGGCAATTATGAGTTAAGTGTGCTGTGAGCATTCATTTGCAAGTTTCTATTTGGACGGATGTTTTCAGTTCTCTAGGGCGCATACACCTCAGAGTGGGATAGCTGGGTCATATGGTAACCTTAGGTTTAACAATTTGAAGACCTTCCAAACTGCTTTCCAAAGTGACTGCACTGACAGTCCCACCAGCCACGCATAAGGGCAGCCGTTCTCTTTGGATGGCCCCTTCTAAGCCTTCTAAGGTGGCCGTCAGTATAATCCACAATCTCCAGTCAGAGACGGTAAGTAACGGGCCGGTAGCCTCACAGCTGGCAAGCAGCAAGGCTGGGATTCGAACCTCAGTGTGCGATTCCCAATGCCTTGCTCTTCCCTCTGTGACCTGCAGCCCAGCATTAACCTTGCATCGCTGATGAACAACTGTGTTTCTCACCCTTTGCCTCTATGCCTGCACCACCCTGATGAGTTTTCTGTGTTGCAGGATGTGTCAGGAAACGCTGCCTTTCTGGCCTTCACTCCCTTTGGGTTCGTTGTTCTGCAAGGAAACAAAAGGGTCCACTTCATTAAGTGGTGAGTGTCTTCACTTCCGCCGCGGGCTCTGTGTGCCTCACCACCTGGGGAGGGAGACGGTTCCCATGTCCTCTGTCTGTGATCGGGCACTTATGGTTCCGAGCCCTCTCCAAAGCCTTGCAGCCACAATGTGACTGATGGAGGCAGTGGTCTCCTCCTAGGGCTCCTATACTTCTAAAAAAAAAAAGGGTGTTCCTGAGAGCCAACAGCCTCTCCAGAGAGAGAGAGAGAGAGAGAGTGCAGAGGTGATTTTCCCGGTAGGACAAGAGACCTGGGACTGGTCCAATGTTAAGGAAGTGAAGTTTTCATGAAAACTGAGTCCTTGGGACTGTCAGCTACTGAGAGCCAGAGGCTCTCCAGGGCACCCCGCTCCCTTACCCACCCCCCTATCAAGGGAGGGGCCCACAGTGAACCTGGGGCAGACAGAAGGTGCCCTGTTGGTCTGGCAGGACGCCTTCCTCAGGCTGACTCCTGGGTGGATGCTGAGCCTGCAGGAGCACCCGTGGTGCTCCACTGCTGTCCTGTACCTCTTAGGGCTTAAGTGTCTCTCCCTTCCCCACTTCCTGCCCCCACCCCCCCGGGCCGCCCTTACACTCCCATTGCTAGCAGACTCAGCTGAAGCGCCTCTGAACTGCTTCCTCTCTACCTGTTCAGAGTCTGCTCTGCTCCGCAGCTCTGGGAGCTGATGCAACGCCGACTGGTATGTGGTGGTGATTTGGCTGTGCTGGCGACCCCTTTTCTGGCCTGTCCAAACATTTTCAGCCTCATCAGAACAGTTGCATATTCTCCTAAGCCCCTGTGATTTCTGTGCCTTCTTGGGCCTCACTGCCAAGTCTGAGCTGGGCAACTCCTCCCACGGGCTTAGACCAGCGCTCTCCTAGCAGAGCTCCGCAGGGCAGCCTTCTCCCAGTCTTGACTCCTTTGCCTTCTCCGGAAGCTCGTAGAGAACCTGAGGATGGAGCCGCTTCCTGCGGGGGTGCGGCAGGGCACCCACCCTCCTCTGTCCTCCTCAGCTCCCCTGCTGACTTTATGAACATCTTCCCAGCCCTTGGTGATCTTGTGAAGAACGGCGAGATGGTGATGACCCAGAAAGCTGGTGAACCCGCCCCTCAGGCGTGCCCAGCCCGGCCCCATTCCCTAGAACAGCGACCAGTGAACACCCCCAAGGTGCGTGCTTGCTAGGCCTGCTCAGGTTGGCCTCCGACTGCGCTCTCTGGGTAAAAAGCTACCTTTTGGAGTCTCCCATCCAAGATAATACTGTGCAAGAAAAGAATAAGCAGGATCAGGCCACCACTCCCCCAGTGAGGACGAGCTGACCTGACTGGACACATCCAGACCGTCAGATGTTCTTGAGACGCCCTGGCCCCCAGGCCAACCTCTGATGGGGTAGCGGTCTCATGGGAAGTCTGGTGGGGGCAGGTATAGCTAGAAACAAGTAGACACCCCGGTTACAGGGACCCGCATTCCCTGAAGTATGCGGAGCCCTCCAGAAGCCCTGATGCTCACCCAGGCCTCCCAGACCCTTTGCGTGTGCCGGCCCCTCCGGCTCACTTCCTCAGGAAACTCCTCTTCACAAGAGAGCAACTTCGAAATAATAGGCAGAAACCCAGTCTCCATTCGGTACTTTCCTAGCTGGCCTGTTGGAGCCTCGGTGAGGTGCATGTTTTCTATGTTAGTCTATTGATAGTTACCGGATCCTCTGCGCGAGAGAGTGGTCGATCTGTTGGGAGGGAATCAGGAGCGCCTGCGACTTGAGTCAGTTCAGAGCTGGTAGTCAGAGGTTGTGAACTCTCATCCCGACCCAGCCCAGCCGTGAATGCTAGGGCTGCAGGGAACAAGTGACCTTCCTCTGTCCCGAGTTTTGCCCCAGCAGTACATTGGGTAAGTGGTTCTCACTATCTTTCTGTTACTTCCTAGGATATTGAGGAAATCTCCCTAGAAATTGCAAAGAGGAAGAAGCCAAGTGGAGGCAGATGTGCATGGTCAGACCTCCTGGTGGTCCCAGTTGGGTAGAAAAATAAGGACTCCACCCCCCAGTGAGGCGGGAGGGCCTGCAGCTCCAGAGGGCAGCTGTGTCAGGCCTCTGGAAGGACAGTCAGGAGTGACCGATCTCATTCTCTGGCTCTCAGGGACATCCACCTAAGACCCTGGCCACTTTTCCATTTTGTAAATATAACCAAGGCTGAGAGCAGTATGCGGAGGTGAGGTCTAAGCCGTGCCATGTACAGTAACCATGTCACTTCTTCTGATTTGTGTCTGTCCGGCGGGTGACGTACCCCAGTATCCTGTTTACCTCTTTTACTGCAGCCATTCACTGGGCTGGTGGCTTCAAGGATTTTTCTACAAAAACCCCTAAGCCCCTTTCCTGGTCAGTACGCTGCATGACTGTTCCATGTAATCTGTTCTCTCTCTTTGGTATGTTTCCCCACCCCCTCCCTGAGATCGTTACATGTGTCTGCATTAAACTGCATTTTCCATCCAGTGGCACAGTCACCTGACAGACTCAACTCCCTCAGAACCTGGTTGCATTGTTTTTCATTATTTGCTGAATCTTGAACTTTGGCCTCATCAGCTACCTGTGGCATCCTCGTCTGACAGTCCCATCTAGATAATGCACCTGTGTTATGAGCCAAATCCTGACATGGCCCGGGACACTCTGCCTAGACTCACTTTCCATGCAAACGTTTCCCTTTTACAGCCACTGTTGATGAGCCCGAAATCCTCCTATCACCCTATTATTATAGTGTGATTGACCAGAAAACTGGATTGAACTGTTTCAACAACTCTAAGGCCACTGCGCTGCTGTCTTGTTTCGGTTCTAATTTGGCTAAAACTGTGTCTGTGCCTGGAGCCCCTTCCAGTCAGGGTGGGCTGTGCATCTACAAGACTTAGCTGTGAACAGGCAGCCCACAGGGAGGTGACAGGCGCTCTCTTTGTGCTTCTAGGAATGAAGTGACCAAGCTGAAATTCGAAGGGAAGACTTTCTATTTATATGTAAGTCAGAAAGAGGTGAGTGCAGCTTCCTTCTCTTTGGGGAGAGCTGGGCACTGGGGTGGTTCCTACTGGCCAGACCTGAGCCAGAGTGGTCCAGGTAGAGCTAAGCCACCTGCATGCCAATCCAAGACCAAGGTCAAGACCCGGGGTAAGGGGTGCAGAAGCAGCTAGGCCCTGGAGCACAGGACTTCCTCAGGGATGCTGATGACACCAGAGATTCTGTACCTCCAGGGAATGCAGAGTAAGATTCTCCTGCTTCCATATGAAAATTCCAAGAGATAAAAATTAAAAAAAAAAAAAATTCCAGATGCAAGTATTTCTGTGGTGAGAGCTCTCTGGGTCAACTAGTGCCAGTTGAGACTTACTCCGATTAAACCTGCCGGGTATGAACTTATACACTCAACTGAGCTCTGCCCCAGTGGGTCCTGCTGGCTTTCTCTGCAACCAGTCAGCTGCCAGGCAGTGCCTTCCCGTCTGCAGTCTCTTCTGAGTAGTGGGGAACCCTTAGCTCAGAGGCCAGCATCCTGGTCTGCTTCACCATTCACATCTCTGCACACACTCAGCTGTTTCCATATGGAATTTTTTTAGGAAAAGAAAATTATTCTCACATATTTTGCTCCAACTCCAGAAGCCTGCAAGCACCTTTGGAAATGTGGAATCGAGAACCAAGCCTTCTACAAGTGAGTGGACACATGTAGCCAGGACCCTTTATCAGAGCCAGTCATAAAGGTCACTTACTTCTTGAGGAATAATGGGCAGGCAGACTTTGAAGAACTTGCTGAAAGAGACACAATGCTGGGGCTGGGCTTCCTTAGAAAACGCAGACCCCTCTGCATGTCTGTCTCTCCTGGAGGTTTATCTGTACCCGCCCCCCCCCCCAAAATCTGGGATGTTTTAGCAATTGTCCAAGAGGTCTGGTGTGTGATGCTCTTAGGCAGGCCCCAGTGGCCAGTCATTCTGGATATTTTCAGATTTAGACTGAGCCAGGGAAAGCCCATGGGTGCCAGACTGGAGTTAAGCCAGCCCTGTGCAGCCTTTGAGAGTCCTGTGAGGCTGGAACACAACAGCTCCATGAAGGAGCAGGCAGAGCCCAGAGAAGCTCCCTAAGCCTTGGAGAGACTCTGAGTCCCACACCCTAGTGGGTGGCCTGGTGTTAAGCTGGGGTGGATGCCAGTCTGTGCTGCTGGGTCATTGCCTGGGGTATTACCAGGTCAGGTCAAGTGCCCAGGATGCTGGGACAAAGTACCTGAAGAGCGGAAAGGGCTTGTCTGTTATTGATAAGCCAATTTTGGGCCAAAGGCAAGACCTTTGCTTACCAAAGGATTCTGTAAAATGTGTGAGGCTTTTGTACTGTTTATTTGATTAAGAACATGATTAGAAAGGCACTAGGGAGCAAAGAAATAGCCCTTCAAGAAACGGGGGTGGTGCCAAGTAAAGCAAGTTTCACTAAGACCCTTGGTCTTGTTTTAAAAATAGAATTCAATGATACATGCTTTAATAAGCTGTATCTAAATCAGGACAACATCAGACATGTTTGTGACAACCAAAAGAAAAAAACCAGGAAGAAAAAACATAAAAGAGTATGCGGTATATTCCACCCCTGACAGGCCAGAATCCTGCCTCCTGTAACCTGGAGCACGGAGTTGCTCTGGGCTGGGTAGGCACCGTTGTTCTCTCCAGGGAGCACTACTGCCTCTGGCTGCTGTGGAATGTGGCCAGCAGGACTGGTCTCCTCCCAGTTACTAGTGCCACAGCCCCCAAGGCCATTACTTGGGTAGGATTTCTGAATTGCTTAATAATTTCTGTGCATTTGTTACTGGACTGAATGGGCAGCCAGAATTCTAACCTAAGTGAGCTGCTTTCTCCTCATGGGGAAGACACTTTTATGAGACCTTTGCATGGTCAAAACTTCCCTCCTGATCAGGCCTGAGTGTCCAAGGAAAGCCATGCAAACATATCTGCACATTTTCCAGGGGCCTTTGTTTTTCCATCTGTACTATGTACTTTTGAACCTGTGACCAAACTCGGTTTCTACATTTTTCCATTCATAAATCTTCCCATCTAGCTAGCCCACCCAATACCCATACTGCACACTGGAAACCGGGGTGGTTTTTTAATTCCATTGACTGCTTAGTGTCCTGAGGCGAAAGCCTCCAGCTGGGTCAGATCCCCAGTTACACTGAGTCTCTGGCCACAGCCACTCTGGACTCACTCTGAGCATCTCTAACGAGCAGCTCCCTCACCTGCCTTTGGCTTTAAAGCCCATTTTGAAGGGAGCTGGGTCAGATTCAACATGTTTAAGCAAAAGGGCAGTGGGTGTAGGCTCCAGGGAATGAGAGAGAGGCGGGGGTGATGTCTCCCTGTAACCGCTGCTCATGGGCAGTGGGACAGCTCACTACTCACTGCCACTCACAGTCCCAGCTGGATTAGCCCTTTGGGTGTCCTGGGCATGTCTGGGCTGAGTTGGGTCTTGCCAGACTTCGCTCTGTGCAGCTCTGCTCAAGCTTCCTTTCTCAGTGCGAGAGGACTAAAGAGATCAAAGTCCCCCAGGAGGAGTTTTATAGCGCTCCACATTGGCGGTCTGCACCCTTGAAAGTAATGTTAATGTTACTTTCTGGGGGAGGAGAAATGGTTCCAAGTTTAAATAAATGAGGGAACTCTTATTAAAGCTAAGCGAGTTACTTTATTGCAGGACTTGTCCGAGTCTTGACTATGACCATGTACTTTAGGACTTTCCAAGAGGGGGATGGAATAGGAAGGGCAGCCACTACTCTCTTCACCCACAATTACCAACATGGACACAGATCATCAAATATTGGGACTGGAAGGGACAACTGAGGTCAAGTAGCTCCAGCTTCATCGTTTTATAGATAAGACAACTGAGGCGAAGAGAGGGAAAGACATATGCCCAAGATCTCCCTTCTCATAAGTGGCCTGGCTGAGTCTGGGTGGGTGGCACTGTTATTCCCCCAAGATCATCATCCCTAACACTCATTCTCAGTCTCCTCCGTGAACCCCATGAAGTATTGTTGGGGAACCCTCACTCTTAACATGAAAGCAGGTTTCAACCTGACTGTCCCTGGCATTGAACCCGTGAGCATAGCGTTGGGTCCTAAAGGAGAATCAGAGCAAAGTGAGGTCTGATAAAAAAGCCCCATGCAGGGCTTGAAGTTTCCTCAAGTAGCCTTTGGAAGGATCTGAGAACACGTGGCCGTAGCCTGTGTGACACTGGCCTCTGCCTTGCTGCAGGCTGGAGAAGTCAAGCCAAGTCCGCACGGTGTCCAGCAGCAACTTATTCTTTAAAGGGAGCCGGTTCCGATACAGGTAAATAGTGACAGTAAGTAACCGTTATGGTCCTATTTTTAGACCCTTCTCTAGAGAACAGCTGCTCAGGGGTCCTTACCCTTCTGAGAGACACTGGAAACACCCAGAAAAGCCTGCGGTTTCCATCCAGTTCTCCTGTCTCCTAACCCTTTGATTCTTTTTCCTTCCCTGCAGATGTTTGTCTGTGGGGTTTAAAATGTGTATCTTCTCCTCCTGCCCTTACAACAGCAGCAAAATGCGAACTACAGCAGTGACTCCTTTCATGTCTTTCTAAAGATCTTTTTTTGCAACATTTTTTGAACACCTGGACAATGAGGAATCATTTCTAAGTGAGAATGGAGGCTCCAAAGACTTCAGAGATAGAGAGCTAAGATAAGCTGTCAGGACACCTTAGAGTCTTTACTGCAGCAAGCAAGCCTTTCTTGGTGACCAAAACATTGGGCAGTGTGGGAGGGTAGGCCAATGACACCGTTTTACAATTTAGCTAATGAATCTGAGACCTTGCAGGGGAGCCCAGTCTTAAAACACCATCTCACTTCTTGCCATTCACTTTATTATACTATTTCTAGTGGCCGAGTTGCAAAAGAAGTAATGGAGTCCAGTGCCAAGATCAAACGGGAGCCACCGGAAATACACAGGTAAATAACCAGGGGCTTCAAAAATAGATGACTGGATCAAGAAGATGTGGTCCATATACACCATGGAATATTACTCAGCATTCAAAAAAGATAAACACATGCAATTTGCAGCAACATGGATGGCGCTGGAAGGGATCATGCTCAGCGAAATAAGCCACAAAGAAAAAGAAAAATACCAGATGGTCTCACTCATAGCAGGAATCTAGAAAACCTACATAAGGGACCAGGAAAGGCTAATTATAATAAAGTAAAAATCAAAATCAACAAACAGCTATGAACCAGAGACACTCTATGGGGGGTGGGGGGTGGGGAAAGGAGGGCTTGGGGGTCAAAATAAGGGGGTTGTAATTGTATGGGGAATATAAAAATAAAATTTAAATTAAAAAAAATAAATAACCAGGGGCTTCCCCCACAAATCAGCCCCATCTCAGATCCCAGACTCTCAAGAGTAAGCAGGGGGAGTGTTATGAACATCTGGCCACAGTGGTTCCCAAATGTGGAAGGAGAAAGCACAGGGGGTAAGAGAGTTTTCTCAGCTAACAATGTGGGCAAAACTATCTGACCCTAGTTACCCCTGAAGCCTTGATGGAAAGTGATGCAGACAGTGTGACAGAGCCAGGAACCTCTTTCCTGGGTAATTCTATTCTCCCAAGTCCTGAAATTGGTCATAGAAAATGGGAGGACATATTTAAGGAGCATTATTTCATTAGTTCTGGAATCAGTCCATTACGGGAAGCCAGGATAGCCCGACAGCCCTGTCACTCTGGGTCTAAAATAGTGTCAGGATCCATGCTTCATGGAGAACTGTAAATTGGACATTTGCAGACGCCCATCTCCTAGAAACTGGTAAGACTTAGAATATGACAGGACTAGGACTGACCAGCAGGCCTGCCATCCGGGGATGAGACCATCCCCTTCACGTGCAGCCCCTGTTGGAAATCCAGGGAGCTGTCATGATCATGCTTCAGGCACACTTTCATGAGTACTGCTCATCTTGAAGCTCTACTCCCTGACAATTCTGCCCCCAAAGACCAATGCCACACTACAGTAAAGTTCAGGTGGGTTTGGAATAGAAGGTGGAAGAGTCTGTAGCTGTGTCTCTGGGATTGGGAGACTAAAGGCAAAAAGCAGCAATGAAATCTAAAAACAAAAACAAAATACAGCAGGCAATTCTGCTCGCCACTCCCCACCTTTAAGTCCCAACTCCTCTATCTGTGCACTGAACTGACAAGGTTCTCTAACCTTTTCTTTCACCTCAGAGCAGGGATGGTTCCCAGCCGCAGCTGCCCGTCCATAACCCACGGCCCAAGGCTAAGCAGTGTCCCCAGGACCCGGAGAAGAGCTGTCCACATCTCAATCATGGAAGGTGAGCCTAAGCTCTGGAGACGTCCGCAGGCTTTCTCCAAGCTGTGACTCGGGCTAACGCCAAAGGGGCCATCAGCAGATTTCATGCAAGTAGATCTGCATGATGGACAGTCTTCCCCACTGGTAAGGAGGTTTCACTCAGTGGGTGGGAACACCAGCTGGACGTCAGATAAAGGGGAACCCCCATCCAGGGCCGCTGAGCTGCAATGCAAGAGGGGATTATAGACCTAAAGAGTAATAGGATAGACCCTTAGGAGACTCTGTATTTGGGGTTTACCAGTTTCTGTGCACTTCTGAAATAGTGTTTCAGCAAAAGGCTTTTCTCTTGTTTACCAGATCTGAAAAGAAGCTTAACTGATCAGGGTGACTGAGGCAGTTAATCAAGAAATGAAAAATTTGAAGCATTCCACTAGCTGCCACTAGCTTCTGCTTCAGGTGCAGAGATCTGTCCTCTCGTTATCCGAATTCCCAACCATCGTCTCAGGAAATCCAGTGTGCCTCATCTCTCGCTACTCTTCCTTCCTTTGGGAAGAGGCAGAAATGGGGAGAGACAGCCTGTACATCTTCACTGAAGTACCCCAGTACCCAAGGCCAACACCTCTCCAACCCCTGGGTGGCTAGTACTGTTAGGAGACACCCTTGGTATGAACAGTGCCTTCTAGCTGTTGTCACTGCCACAGCTTGCCCCACAAGCTAGACACAGGTACGAAGCTGAGTGCTTTCATTCCCAAAGATGGCGTTTTTTGTAAGATTTCAGAAGATCTCAAGGAGCAGGAAATTGCAGTTACTTCAAACTTGTCTTGGAAATGAAAGCATCCTTTGCCCTATCTGTAAGAATGCTGCTAGTTAATAAAGAGTCAGGTTAGGAAGGACATCATTACTCTGCTCTTCTGGACGATCTCTGATTTGTGTTTGGAATTTCATGACGTGTTGTTCTGGGTCTAATCCTCTGCATCACGTGAGCACAGTATAGAACCACAGAGTCTCGGGCTTGAGAACCCTGGCGGGGCAGCGACCATCAATTATTAGTCTTTGCTGTTCCATTTGTGAGAAAGGAACCTCTTCCTTACCTTCTCATGAGTTGTGCGGAAGCGGATATACACAGGAGTAACTTGAAAGGGACAAAAGCATTTCCTAGGCAGGAAGATCCTTGCCAGGAAGTCAAGGATGAGGTTTCCAGCCAGAGCTCTGCCACATGCTTTCTAGAGCAGGCTGCTTATCCTCTCTCATCCTGTGGCCTACACTGTGGCGTGCGGGTGTGAAGGGATCTTGTCAATGACAAGTATAATCGCGGCGCCAGGTACGGAATGACAGGTCTGGCGGTCTCCACGTTTGTCCTCCTGTGTTAGGCTGAAGTGAGCACGGCTCTTCTTTTGGCATGTTTATCTCAGGAAAGTGTAATGAATTTCTTCTCCCTCAAGGGAACTTTTTCTCCTCTCTGTGGCCCTTCATCCCATCAGCTTCATCCTAAGGTTCCAGCAGAAAGTCAGGACGGATGTCCTCCCAGAGAAAAGGCCACCCCTGAGGGAAGCCAGCAGCACTAATGCATGTATCAAATAAGAGAGGAGCCACATGCATTTCTGCTCCCCCAAAATATGCTGAGACAAAAGACTGAGGCTGTCCAAATGCGGATATAGTTTATTTGGAGCAGTTGCCAAGCAGGGTTAGCAGAATTCGGAGGCTGTCTTCATGCTCCCCCTGGTTAAGCTGTGGGGCTGCCGCAGGTCCCCACCCGCTCTAGTTGAGCTTCCAGCCTCCTCCCAGAATATACCATCTCGTGTTGCAGCAGCTTCAAAGCTTATCAAAGTCCAAAATAGTCACCCATGTTTGCCAATGCCAGGGAAGGGTGCAGTGGGGCGGGGCCTCTAAGAAAGCTTTTGGAGGACAGCCTCCCAAGGGTATGTCCTCAAAACCTCAGTTCGTAGAATGTCACACTTACCAGGCCAGGCCATGGTCAGGCGCTACTCCCCAAGCCAACCTGCTCTTCACACCCAGAGCCCAGGCTGCTTACAGACAAGCGCAACCTTCATCCTAGTCACGGCCCTCGGCCGGGACCCATGAGGGCTGGCGCAGGAGAGGGTAGGCTGAAGCTAAGAACTGCCTCGGCAGAGCGGGAGGAGGCAGATGGACATCTGGTTTGGATGCAGATATAATAAGACTTTAGCAGTTAGTGGCTATATCAGTACAGGGATTACAAAGCTCGGGAATGTATAAAGAATGGATTATTTTCAGGAAGCCAGATTTCCTCTCAAGAGGAGGTTTGTCTTTAAAGCTCCCGACAAACAAGGCTGACCTTGACTGTCCACCCCACCCAGGGCAGGGCTGAGGGCAATGTGATGAGAGCCCCAGAAGGGCACTGAACTCCCAGCAAATTATAAACATTTGGAATTCGTTCTTGCTCTGTGAGGTTGTCTCTAGGTAGTCCACATGGCCCATAATATTACAGAAATCATTTGACTTTTCCAGAGAAAGGCTTTGTTTGCGCTCTCCAAAAGCAATGGAGGAAACTGCAAAAAACATTAACATTTTAGTTTGAAACCATGTAAGCCCACGGAACTGTGACCCTTAAAAACAATGGCTGTGTAGTTGGTTGGTCTTGCCCTCTCTGCTGAGGGAGGCCACTTGTTATTAGCACCAGCCTGACGCAGGGAGGATTCTCAAGGATGTGTGTTCCTTTCACCCACTGTGCTCTGTGGGGCACCTCTCTGCAGGGCCTCAAATAGAGCCCCCTGGAGAAAGGGGCCCCTCCTCAAAATTCAGAGACACCCAGCCCAGAGGTCAAAGTCTTTGTAGCTTCACATCCTGGATTTGCAGGGGCAGTCCTCATGCCCCTGCCCTCTGTCTCTGAAAGATCCAGGGCCCTTATATGGGCCTCAGGACAACAGCTACAGACTTCAAGAGCATTACTTTTTATGGCTCTGAGTACTTCAGGCTGAATCCAGTTGCCTGATAACATTGGCCTCTCAGAGCTGCTCTCTCCCCACAGCTCAGCCTTTCCTGCGGCAGAGCCAGCCACTCTCCAGCCCGGGAGGCACTGCAAAGGGGCTGCCATGCACGAGAGTAGCAAAAATCCTTTGGCCCTAGTTGGTTTTCCATCTTTTTTCTCTATATGCCCCCTGCCTGACTGGTTTCCACCGAAGAAGTATCTGCCTTTCCTGGGCCACCATGGGGAAGAGTCTGATTAAGATTCACACCAGAGTCCCTGTGCAGCTCCGGTTTACTAATCACTGCCTTCGGCCCCTGAGCGTGCGCATCCTGAGGATGGGGCCCCAGCTCCGGGGTAGGCTCCTGACCGCTGTACCCACGGGCCCCCTGGCAGCCACCTCTGGGCAAGGCAATCAGCTGGAGCACCGCCAAGGTAAAAAAGACACTGCTCTGTTTTGCTATGCCACTTGCCCAGATCCCATCCACAACACCCACCCTCTCCATCCCAGAATAACAGCTTTGACAGAAAGGTGAGGCGGGTGGTGGGTCTAGTGAAACTTGAACTTCTGTACAGGACTAACCTGATGTGGGAATGATAGTCTTTTTTTATTTTTTTTATTTTTTTTTTTTTTAATTTCCTAGAGGCATGTCTTATTTATTTATTATTTGTTTGTTTGTTTTTGGTTTATACATGCACTGGGTACAGTCAGAAGCACGGGAGGGTGAGAGAATTCACCAGAGCCAGAGCGGGGAGCAGAGCAGGCAGAAGGACCGAAACACACTGCTCAGGGGAGCAGCGGGCGGCAGGAGAGGTCTGTGCGCCATGTGGGACCCTCCTCCGGTGGCCGGGGAGCAGCCGGGGATCGAACCGGCGCCACAGAGGCCGTGGGTAGCTTCGCAACCCAGCGCTCAACCGCTGCGCCACCGGGGAGGCCCGGGAATGATAGTCTTACAGTGAGGTCTCCCGGTGAGCAAAAGATTAACATTTACTGAGTAATTTTGTCAGACTTCCTACACTAGAGATGCACACACGGCCATTATCTTGTTTACTGAGTACACCAACAACTCAAGACTATGTGGCTTCTGGTTGTTCTTCTAACTTACTCTCTGATGTCACAGCCTTCGCTTCCTTCCCCAGCAAGCTTAGGGCTTAATCGTAGGGCAAGTCATGCTCATGATGAAGAGGCTTCTGGCAGCTAAGCTGGTCACTATGTGGAAGATCAGGCAGGCAGCTGTCTCTGTGAGGAGCACCTCCCTTGAAGTGCTCTTAATTTCACAAGTTTCTTGGGCAGTCAGGACCTAAATCTGAAGCAGGGGCATGCAGTTGATTGGAATTCATTCTCCTGTTGTTCCACTGCCCGGAATCCAACCATGTGATCAATAGCACTATTAAGCAGAAAGAGGCTTAAATTCTGCCCTTTGCTTTGCCATTACCAGCCCAACTCCAAGGCTTAAGCAAGTCCCCATAACCTCTCACCCTCACTACTTCATGGAGTCATTGAAAGATAAAGTGAAAATGCTAAAAAAAAAAAAAAACCTACAAATTTAAGATCTTACCTTAGGAACAGATGAAATACAACTAGGATCCTGAGCTTCTGAAAGCACAAACAGAGCAGAGCAAATACACTAATGCCAAGGCGGTGGGGCATATAAGCAGCTAGCAAGGGGCGGCCGTCACTAAACTCTCACACAACCCTACAGTCCCCCATTTTTTACCCAGATTCCAGGGTTCATTCCTCTGGAGACTCCCCAAGCTCGGGCAGGCAGATGGCCTGGATGCAAATGGCCACATCACAAGAAAGCCAAGGAAGATGAAACACACCGAAAGGTCACTAGCACCCTAAAAAGACCTTTGGGCTTCTGCAGCTTGCCCTGAACCAGGGGCTGTCAGGGTCAAGCCAGAGCAACAGAGCCAGAAGCAGGCCTTCCTGTCACAGGTCACACACAGGTCACCCAGTCAGAAAGAGAGAGTCTAGCACTTCCATGAAGGACAAGAAAACACAGCAGAAATAAGGAGCTATTTCCTTGGGGGGCACCGTGATGTGGGCCACACTTGGTGTGATCAGCCCACACCCTCTGGCCTGGTGGCTGCTGTTTCACTGCAGGAGTAACCAGTCCCTGTTTATTCCTACCAGAGCTTGAGCCCTGGAAAGAGATATGTTCCATCTGAAAGTAAAAATAATGGTTAGTTTCTAACTGATACGAAAGAATTTCCCCACTAATCCAGTAAGATCTTCTCAGAGACAGCTTTGTATTCTGGAGTGTCTAAAAATAGGGAGTGCTGGCAGCCTAACCTAAGGTGAAGACGAGAGCACTTAGGAAGAGCAGCTCGGGGTTTCATATCTCACAAGGTCAGGACAACTAGGACTAGGAGGTTGAAGAGACCAACAACAATTACAGAAATCCAAAAGGGACCTCTCTAAAATGGAAGAGTCACTGCCGGATTGTTACAAGAAAACCAGCTCCAGTATCAGCATTTGGTAAAGCCCAGTTAGGCCAAAACCATTTCCTACTCTGCCCCTCAAGGCCCTCAGCCCAAGAGATAAATGAGCTCCTTGAACTGTGTGACCTAGACAGTCTGTGATTCAGATTCTCTTTCAAATTGGGGTTAAACCAGTCCCTTGAGCCAAAGGCAGGAAGTCAAACTCTTAACAAACCAGGCTAAAACCATGAGAAAAAAAGGAAACATCAATCAACCAAGGCCATTCTGATTGCTGCTGCTGCTTCTGTCCTATTTTCCCTTCCCCAGATAATGTGTAACATGATACAGTATATCTATTTATTGTGAAATGATCAGTCTAGTTACTATCAATCACCACATACAAATAATTTTTTTTTAAATCATGAGAACTTTAAGATCTACTCTTAGCAACTTTCAAATATGAAACAGAGTATCAGCTATAGTCACTATACCATACATTACACTTGCCTAACTTATAACTGGAAGGTTGTCCTTTTGACTGCCTTTATCCACTCCGCCCAGAGTAGCGCACCAGTTTACAGCGTGCAAGGACTTTTCTCCATATCTGCACCAGCACTTGTTTCTTGTCTTTTTGATGATCAACCAGTAATTGATGAGATACTGTCTAGGTATGGTTTTTATTTACCCATTTACCTTTAATGATGTTGAAGATCTGTCCATGTACCTAGGGGGCATTTGTATGTCTTCTTTGGAAGAATTCTATTGAAATCCTCTGTCCATTTTTTTTTTTTTTTTTTAAATAGAGGCATGTTTTATTTATTTATTTGTTTGTTTGTTTATACAAGCACTGGGCACAGTCAGAAGCGCGGGAGGGTGAGAGAATTCACCAGAGCCAGAGCGGGGAGCAGAGCAGGCAGAAGGACCGAAGTACACTGCTGAGGGGAGCAGCGGGCGGCAGGAGAGGTCTGCGCGCCATGTGGGACCCTCCTCCGGTGGCCGGGGAGCAGCCGGGGATCGAACCGGCGCCGCAGAGGCCGCAGGCAGCTTTGCAACCCAGCGCTCAACCGCTGCGCCACCGGGGAGGCCCCCTCTGTCCATTTTTAAACTGAACTTTTTTTGCTATTGAGTATGTGAACTCTTTAAATATTTTGCATATTAGTCCCTTATCAGATATGTGACTTGCAAATATTTTCTCCCATTCACTAGGTTATCTATTCATTTGTTATTTTCCTTTGTTGTGGTGATGCCTTTTGGTTGGTGTATAGTTTCTCTTGTTTATGCTTTTGCTGCCTCTGCTTTTGCAGCCAGAACCAAAAATTGATTGCCAAGAGAGATGTCAACATTTTCTTCACCTTTAATCCATCTTAGTTTTTGTATATGGTGTGAGATAGTGATCCAATTTCATTCTTCTATAATGGCTACTCAGTTTTCCAACACCACTTATTGAAAAGATTGTCCTTACCATATTGTATATTCTTGCCTCCTTTGTCAGAAGTTAACAGACTATATCTGTGCAGGTTTACTTCTAGGCTCTCTAGTCATTGAATTACGTGCCTGTTTACGCCAATAACATACTGTCTTGACTACTATATAGATTTGTTAAAATCAAGAACACATTAGGCTTTCTCTGTTATTCTCAAGATTGCTTTGGCTACTCAGGGTCTTTTGTGGCTTCATACAAATTTTAGGGTAGTTTGTTCTATTAATTTGAAAAATACAATTGCAATGTTGACGGGGATCACACTGAATCTGTAGGTTGCTTGGGTTGCATGGAAATTTTAAGTCTTCTGAACCATAAGCACAGTTTCAATTTATTCGTGCCTTCAGTTTCTTCCATCAGTATCTTAAAGTAGTCAGTACACAGCCTTTTTACCTTCTTGCTTAAATTTATTGCTAGGTATTTTATTCTCTTGTGCCATTATTTATCTATCAAAACAGAGTACAGCAGCCACTGCTGTTGAGGTGTTGATATGCGGTGGGGATTCCTCAAGATCACAGTGACCAAATAAAACAGGGTGTTGTCTCCACCAGGCAGCGAGTGTGTGGCGGACACAGAAAGCCTACTTGTGTTCCTCTTGTCTTTCTAGGCCTTGAGTCCCTGCGGGACAGTGCCCACTCCACCCCCGTGCGCTCCTCCTCCCACGGGGACACCTTCCTGCCTCATGTGAGGAGCAGTCGGGCAGACAGCAATGAGCGAGTCGCTGTGATTGCGGATGAGGCCTACAGCCCGGCTGACAGCGTGTTACCTACCCCTGTGGCTGAGCACAGCCTGGAGCTGATGCTGCTGTCCCGGCAGATCAATGGGGCCACCTGCAGCATCGAGGAGGAGAAAGAATCTGAGGCCAGCACCCCGACTGCTGCAGATGTGGAGGCCCTTGGGGGAGAGCTGAGGGCCCTGTGCCAGGGGCACGGCGGGCCGGAGGAACAGGTGAATAAGTTTGTTTTAAGTGTCCTCCGTTTGCTCCTTGTGACCATGGGACTCCTCTTTGTTTTGCTCCTCCTCCTGATCATCCTTACCGAGTCTGACCTTGACATTGCCTTTTTCCGAGATATCCGCCAGACCCCCGAGTTTGAACAATTCCACTATCAATACTTTTGTCCCCTCAGGCGATGGTTTGCCTGCAAAATCCGCTCAGTGGTGAGCCTGCTCATTGACACCTGAGAAGGCATGACTCCTCCCAATAACTAGCCCGGGGACCAAGGAGCCCGGCTACCCCGTCCCAGCAGTGGGACCCATCGCGGAACCATCGGCACATGCACCAAGTCCTCCTCTCATGACTCAAAGTCCACAGCCTAGGAGGGTCATTTCCCAGAAGAGGAAAGGGATAGTCTCATGCCCTGTCTAAACAAACTGGGAAAACTCATTTCTTTCAAGAAAGGCTCGGCGACTCTGTCATCCTTCCAATTTGCAGGATAATTTTTGCTTTTGAATTTTGATTTTTCATAGATGTGTATTATTTTGAAAGTACCAAATAAAAATAATTTATTTTACTATTACTGATTATTGCAGTAGTGTCACCTAGCAGATGTGACACCGTGAAGACTAGAGACCCGCTGTCTCTATTCTGCAGGAGCTTTCCCTACTGGGTTCCCGTAGACTCAGCACTGCAGCCTCAGTGGGGCAGGCGAGGGGTCTGGACAATGGGGACTGCCTAGGTTTTCTTGCCAGACAGAGCTTTTTAAAAAAGTAAACATCCATGTAGAATGATTAAATGGAAAGTTGCTTCTTATGACGGTCTGAGTTGGATTTTCTTTTCCTTTTTTTTCCAAATCTGAGCAGAGTGGGAATCTGAAGGGACCACCGCTACAGCAGCAGCAGCAGCAGGGGTAGGGTAAGTCTGTCCCCTTAGAATAGTTCCTAGTGGGCATCGCCATGAGTTTTGTATAATGAACTTATTAGACTTATGTGATTTTTTTTTTCCTGAAGAACCTCAAGACCTGTAGTGCTCCAGAGGCATTAGATGAATTCAGTGGTGCAGCACTTAGATAGGACTGTCAGAAATGTTGGACAAAGTGTAGTTAACAGAGACCAGAGCTATGGTACCTGAGAGACTGTTAAGATTCAGAGAACGGTACTTATTTTGCACACAACTCCCCCCAAAAGACTATTTCAATTTATATTTTAACAACAAAATATTTTCTTATCAATTCATATTTTGTTTTTACTTTATGGATTAAGAAAATAGAGCCTGATGAACTAAATGATGCAAGGAAGAAACTGATCCTGAGAATGAAAAGCTTCAGAAAATAGAATTCCAAGATCAACAAACAGCCTTGGAAGGGACCAGGAAAAGAATCTCTTTAAATAGGATTTCTAAGAGATGCCTACAAAAGAAGGTGAATGTGGCAGAGACCAACACTTAGCTGTAGAAATACTGCCCCCTAGGGTTCCTCTACATCAGGACAATAAAAGCTGTAGGAACATACTTGCCATCTTTGCTGAGGGAAGCCATGGAAGCGCACAGAATGACAGCATGTGAAGAGTGAGCGTGGGGTCCGAGGCCTGAGTTCTGCAAGTCTTACAACCAATCACACACAATAGCTTGTTTTCATCTCAGGGAGAGATTGCTAAGTCATCTGAGGCATAGGACTTATGTAAGAACTGTCAGTGGATGTATTCCTGGGACCCACACAAAAGTGGAGCAGCCACTGACACCTATGATGCTGGGCAGCCCCCAATGCAGAACAAGATGAGTCACTTGTGATTTTCTCTCCCCAGCTTATCCCCTAAGATGCCAGAACCATATCCACGTTTAGAACATAGCAGCTGTGGAATAAATGTTTTTCTTTTGGGGGGTGGGGGGCTGGAGTGGGGAGTGTTGCATAATTTTAAATGCACTTTCATCTAGACTAGGGGTCAGCAAACTTCTCTAAAGTGCCAGGTCATAAATATCTTCATTTTGATTTTATGGGCCATACTCTGTCAACTACTCAACTCTGTCATCCTAGCACAAAGGTAATAAAATAGAGTATGGCTATGTTCCAATAAAAACATTTATAAAAACAGTGAGCTGAATTTGGCCATAATAAACCAAACCCCATCTAGTCAATAATAAAACTGCTCCTTATAGTATATTGGCAAAGAGAAGGTCAGCTCTGCCCCAATTCCTGACATGGGTTAAAGATCTAGGACCACTTCCCAGTGGAGGCACTGGGGTTGTTTGAAAGTGCTCGAACAACCAAGCAGCAAAGAGCTGTATAATGCCTAGAGCAGCAAGATCAAGTACTGCAATACTAAAATCATGGCCAGAACCTAAGAATGGAAAAAGGTCTATCTGATCATTTCCATACCAGCAACAATATGGGCAGAACTGCAAACATCTACTTACCACGTGACAAGACAAACTGAGGGAGATCCTAGGAAGATTAGGGATCACTTTGAACCAACTAGTCACTGCCACTTGTCATCTCTACAAGAAGGACTTTAACACAGGACTGCAGTGAAAGGTACTCTTAGAGATGAAAAGGTTGTTAGGAAACAGAGGGCTGGTTTTAACCAGGATATGTACTACCTTATGCAACATAGCAGATTACCTTTAGTGTAGTGTTCCTACCTCAGTCTGTAGAACATGGTGTTTCTATGCAGTAAGTGATAGCCCTGACTCTGACCTTTCATAGTCACATTAAAGAAAGATGCAGTGTTCCGTTTCCCATAAATTGTGTCTAGAGTCCTAACAGTACAATAGTTCATACCACTCCCAACAGCTAGATTTTGCTCTCTGAATAAAACTTTCAGTTGTTTTCTTCCAGGGTTTTCTCAAAAAATACAAAAGATTTCCTTCAATTTACTTTCAAATAGTTCCAGAATAACAAATCTCCTTTGTTGGCGACCAATCTTTTTTGGTATCTGCCTATCATTAAAAATTGTTAACGTTTTTAACCTGGTTTCGCTGTGTTCTACTGTTGTCTTCCATTTTCTCTTAGTTAGATCTCGTTGTAGAAAAAGCAATGATTTACATAGCTTCATCTTTCAAAGGAAATAAATTCTTACTAAAGAATAGTGTACTGCATCTTTAAGCAGTAGAGGGTAAACTACCTGCAAATGTGAATTTTCTTAGTTTCATTTAAAAATACATAGTTGTTAACCTTTTGTTTGCCAAAAATTTTAAGTTACATTTTCCTTCAAAGCAATGTACCTTTTTCTACATATGCAGTATGTAGTTAGCATAAAATCATTGGTGCCATGAAAATTATTTTTGAACTTAAATAAATATTTAAATATCATAGAAGAAATAGACTCTTTTTTGCCTTACACCGTGTCTTACTTTTTCCTCAAAATTACTAATACATAGATAAAAGGATACCAGTGGGATTTATGACTGCCGTTTACTAGAATCATTTGAAATAATCATTTTGCTTATATCTATTATTATTGTCCCTTCCCACAAAATACCATTAGGAACTCAGAAGCTATAAAGGTAAAATAATTTTAGAAATGAATTGGGCCTAATTCTCCTGATGAGGAAAACCAAGAAGTTCTTACATCCCAAAATAGAACCTAGATGGCCCAGCTTCTAGTATTCTTCCCCAAGCCAGGAATAAGACGAACAGAAGACACTGCCTATGAAGGCAACAGAACGGCATAACCTCTATAGTAATAAACCTCCTTATTTACAACATACATTCCTATAATGCTTGATCTTACCTGATTATGTAGCCATCACTGTGGTAATGTTCTTCTAAATTCTATGAGGACAAAAGGTGAAACCAATGACATGGTCCACCATGCTAGCTTATCTAACTGTTTTCAGTCTACCTGCCCCCCAATCCTCCATTTTGCTGGCACATTATTTTCCTAAAGTATCAGGTTATATCACTCATTTCCGAATATTGAGAGGTTCCAATTACCTATAAAATATCCAGTGCTCTGTCCCCAATGGAGTTCAATGGCTTATTTTTTAATTGCAGTACCATTGGTTTACATTGTTGTTGGCGTGCTGGATGTATAGTATTTTCCCCCTTCAGGTGTAGTCACCATAGTGCACCCACCACAGAAAAACCCACAGTCCTCCACTGAGGGTGCTTTCTCTCCACCCTCAATGTGTTTTTTTTTTTTTTTTTATAAACACTGGATATAATTGGCTTTCCACAGCCCTAGAGATTTACATCAGACGCACACCTTCAGATTACCACCTAAGGACGCACCTGTGCACACAACGTTTTAAGGTTCTAGCAGCCACTTCCTGTTTAGGGTTCCTCAATCATAGCCAGGCCCCTCTGCACCTGAGCACAACTTCTGCTTTTAGATCACAAACATGATTCCTTCAACCCCCTAAAACTTGCTGATAGAATAAATGATGCATTTAAAACATTTCCTCTCACACAACTATTTTAGGAAAAGATACCTTAAAACATTTTCCTCCTTATTCTGAGTAACTGTTCTAAATGTTACCTTTCTCACAAAATTCTACCTTTTCATCTGAAAATCCAAATGAATCAAAATACAGGTCTGTGCCATCTTGGAACTGAAACTCGCTACTGCCATCAATGCCATACCAAAAAGGAAAACACAAAAATACTCCAAAAGGTCTTAAGTCAGACATGACAGTCTAATAAGCAGGACACCTAAGTTTTTGGAATCTGAAATTATAAGGTGTGTTTGTCTTAGGTGTGATGTAGCAGGCACATGTGTTTGCTCCTCCCCATGTATACGTACCATGTCGTGGCTGCAAAGATTCAAATCTTGGTATCCACCACCCGAGTTCTTGGAGAACTGCCTTTGCAAAGTCTTCTCTTTGTGGAAAGTAAACACAAAGGCCAGAATAATAAAATAGGGCTTAATCAATTCCTGATTATCTGTGTTCTTTCCTCGTCTGGCCAAGTTGCTGTTCACCCAAAATGAGCATCATCTCCTTCCTCAAAGTCACATAAAAAAATGCCAAGCATCTCAAAGAAAGTAAGTGGAATTCAAAGTTTACACATTTAAGAGAAATCAGAGGCCAATTTACAAAAAAGGCTTATCCTAAAAGGGAGAAAGCAAACAATACACACATAATTACAGACACCACACAAGCCACACCATCACACCATTTTAAGCAACTCTCTGAGATAAATACCTTTCAAAACAGATTAGTTTTAGAATGTACTACGGGAGACCATTTTCCTTTATGTGCTTTTCTAGATTTTAAGAATTACTTCATTATAAAGCTTACCATCATGAGAAACAAGTTCCCACTCACTCCTCCTTTCCTGCATTGTCTCAACAAGATAGAACTCTTATTATGTGGGGCCTGATGAAAATAACAGTTTACAAAGCTGTAATGACAAAAGAAACCACAAAAGTGAGAAACATCAAAAATTTGATAACATTTATTGCAGAAACCAGACAATTACCATCAAGTTTTCAAAGCTTAAATGATGGTATTAATGTATGACTTGTATCTTTAAAAAAAAAAAATTCACAGAACTGGCCACTCTAGAACCTGTGAAATTAAGTGGCATAGAAAAGAGAAAGGTATGGGCCTCCCCGGTGGCGCAGCGGTTGAGCGCTGGGTTGCGAAGCTGCCCGCCGCCTCTGCGGCGCCGGTTTGATCCCCGGCTGCTCCCAGGCCACCGGAGGAGGGTCCCACATGGCGCTCAGACCTCTCCTGCTGCACGCTGCTCCCCTCAGCAGTGTACTTCGGTCCTTCTGCCTGCTCTGCTCCCTGCTCTGGCTCTGGTGAATTCTCTCACCCTCCCACGCTTCTGACTGTACCCAGTGCATGTATGTATGTATCAATCAATCAATCAATAAATCTTTAAAAAAAAAAAAAGAAAAGAAAAGAGAAAGGTAGCATAAAATCTTCATTTACCATCTCCAAGACAGTTTAAATACAACTCCATTTAGCTTTACTTTCTATTTCATAAATTAGTTTCCTGTATCATATTACCAAGAAAACAGAGAATTCCTAGACCTTATAAATATCTACAACCTATTAATAAACAGAAACTCCAAACACTTAGATTTCAATCAGCGAAGGAAATTACTGAGTCAAGAATTATTCAAGGAAATTATACATGTCACTTTATTTCTGTGATAAACAATTTTGAGAAGATAATATTTTAGAATTCAAATATAATTGCATCAAAGTTATTTGCAATAGTCTTTTAGTAGTACTTTGGCAATGAAGAACAATGACAAAAGCTTGATATAGTACTGTGTGACATTACCTTAGTCACGGATTTAGTAGCTCTCCTTCCAACAACAGAAAAATTCAAACTGTTGAAACTTCTGAAAATATTTTTATGGAGAAATGCCAAAAGTAGTGAGTATTGCATAATATTGCCTCAGAGTATGAATAAGAATAAAAATAATGACATAACAGATTACTGAATCTCTTGTGGAGAGTTCAAATACAAGGAGAGAGAGGGCTGTGTGGGGCCTTCTAAGGCAGTACTTTCACTTCTTTAAACTATGACCCGCAATACCACAGTAACAAACATTTCACACCAGAATATACATACACAACCTACATATATATGTGCATATGTCATTAAGATTCACAAAACAATACTTGCTTTTATGTTTTCTATTTCTTTACTTTTCATTTTTTAAAACACCAGTCATGGCCACTAAAAAATGACTTCATGTGATCAGCTACAGCCCAAAGCCTGGGAAATACTGATCTGAGGGCAATCTCTGGGCTGCAGGGGTCAGATTGATCCAAACTACATCCCTAGGATCCCTGGGATTGCTTTGCTGTGCCATAGGAAGAAGCTATGAGTCTCTAAGGGGAAGGGAAAGTGTCGGCACAAAGACCCAGGTCCTGCATCAGTGAACCAAAGCGTCTCAGCAATTATTTAACACTTTCACAAAAGATTTAATTTAAAGGCAGAGGAGAAAAGGGGTTTCTTGGTTAAGAAAATGAAAGGTTTCAAAATCATGAAGTTAGATGACCTTTTAGTACCTCTGAGACCCTTCCCAGTGTGTGACTCTAGAAAAAATACTCCAAACTATAAAATAAACCATGAATCTATTTATCACTATAAAATAAAAAAATACCATTAGATCATACAATCTTTTAATACTGCTAATTCCAAGCTTTATAAATTACAATGCCAGAATTTCTCAACATAGTGCCTAACTAAAAGTGCTAAAGGCATCATAGCCTCCCCTCAGATTCCCTCCCCATGTAGTAGAAACACTCTAAGGCTTTTTACCTTACTAAAGGTTGTTATTGATAAAGCAGTATTATATTTACTAAGCAGACTATATATTACCAAGTGAAAAGATTAAACCACATGAATCACTGGGTTCCTTAAGCACTGATTAAACAAATCAGTGTTGCCAAACCAAAAACTCAATATTCTTATTTCATAAAAACATGTACCTTCCCACTGGAATTACCTCCAGCCAAAATATACCGAGTTGGGTGCATAGCATTGATGGAACACACAGAAGCAAGGCATTCTTCACCAAAAAAAGAATGCACCAGCTTTCCTGTCTCATGGAAAACTTCTACCCGTCGTGGATGGGCCATGCTGCCAACTATGAAACAGTCTTCTTGTTTAGGATCCCACACGGCTTGGAATCTAGTCAGCCATTTCCCAGTAATGGTGTTGTGCCTAGTGAAAAGAACAATTTTTTTAAAGGATAGTGTCAAATAATTCAAGGGGCAGAGGATAAAGATGGAATTGCTCCTAAATGCTGGTTTTCTCTGCCAAGTTTCTTAAAATTAAGTTACTGAATTACCATCAACCTGATATGATCCTTCCTACAAGACTGAAAATAAGGACAGAGATGATGTCTTCTTTTTTATAAATTTCCAGTGCCAAGTACAGTGATTTGTGTGTCTACTGAAACATCTGTTTTGTTCACTATTATCTAACTCCATAGGAAAATCCCCCTTTTTTCTCTGCAGCACATCCAAATAGAAAAGTCCTAAAAATAAGAAGGAAATGGTTACATTTAAATGTCAAGATCAACAACTTGTCTACACCTCAAACCTCTAGAACATAAATAAAGCAAAAGGTAGCAGACGGAAACAAATACTAAAGATTAGAGCAGATAGAAATGAAATAAATAGAGTAAGAATTTTTTAAAGATAAAAATTGACAAGCACTTAGCTAGATTAAGGGAAAAAAGGGAAAATGCAAATAACTAAAATCAGAAATTAAAGAGTGGATATTATAACTGATGCCACAGAAATAAAAAGCATAAGAGAATCTATGAACAATTACATGACAACAAATAACCGATAAACTGGATTAATTCCCAGGAACATACAACCTACCAAGATTGCATCATGAAAAGGAAATTAATAGAAATCACAAATAGAAAACTAAGTAGATCTGTAATTTGTAAAGAAATTACAGCAGTAATCAAAAGCCTCCCAACAAAGAAAAGTCCGGGAGCAGATGGCTTTACTAGAGAATGTTATCAAATATGTAAAAAATTAACAGTAATATTCCTCAAATTCATGCAAAGAACTAAAGAGAGAACATTTCTAAACTCATTCTATAAGGCCAGCATTACCCCAGACAAGAACTCTAAAAGAAAACTATAGACTACTGTTCAATAAACGGTGCTGGGAAAACTGGACCACCACATGCAAACAAATGAAACTAGATTATGACCTCACACCATGCAAAAAAACCAACTCATAATGGATAAAACAACTGAACATAAGACCTGGAACCATAAAATATATAGAAGAAAATATAGGCAAAACACTACATGACATACATCTCAGTAACATTTTTTTTTAAATCTTATTTTTTAATTTTTTTTATTTTTTTAAATAATAAATTTTATTTTTATATTTCCCCCATACAATTGCAAAAGCCCCATTCTGACCCCAATCCTTCCCTTCCCGCCCCCCACCCCCCAAAAAGTGTCTCTGGTTCATAGTTTTTTGTTGATTTTGATTTTCACTTTCTTATATTCATTTTCCTGGTCCCTTATTTAAGTTTTCTAGATTCCTGCTATGAGTGAGACCATCCGGTATTTTTCTTCTCAGTAACATTTTTAAGACTCATCCCCCAAAGCAAAGAAAGTGAAGGAAAAGATAAACAGGTGGGGGCTGCTACCTCGAAAAGAATGAGGCTTAACTACTACCTCACCATGCACAAAACCAACCCAAAATGGATTAAAGAACTAGATATAGGAACTGAAGCCGGGCCTCCCCTGGTGGCGCAGTGGTTGAGCGCTGGGCTGCGAAGCTGCCCACAGCCTCTGCAGCGCGGGTTCAATCCCCGGTACATGGCACGCAGACCTCTCCTGCCACCCACTGCTCCCCTCAGCAGTGTATTTCGTCATTCTGCCTGCTCTGCTCTCCCCTCTGGCTCTGGTGAATTCTCTTAACCTCCCGCGCTTCTGACTGTACCCAGTGCTTAAATAAATAAATAAATAAATAAATAAATAAATAAATAAATAAATAAAAAAAAAAAAAAGAACTGAAGCCATAAAATATACAGAAGAAAATACAGGTAAAACAATATATGACATATACCTCAGTAACACCTTTAAAGACATATCATCCAAAGCAAAGATAGTGAAGGAAAGAATAAACAGCTGGGACTACATCAAATTAAAGAGCTTCTGTACAGCAAAAGAGACACTGACCAAAACAAAGAGACACCCCTCTGATTGGGAGAAAATATTTGCACACAACACTAATGATAAGGAACTGATCACAAAAATTGACAAAGAGCTGAGGAGTCAACAAAAACAAAGTAAATAACCCAGTCAAAAAATGGGCAGAAGGGCTAAAAAGAAACTTCTTCAAAGAGGAAATGCAAATGGCCCACAGGCATATGAAAAAATGTTCAACACTGCTTGTAATCAGGGAAATGCAAATCAAAACCACAATGAGATACCATCTTACACCAGTGAGAATGGCACATATTAAAAAAAATAGCAACAGGGGACTCCCTGGCGGCACAAGGTGTTGAGCACAGCACTGTTGATCTGTCCGCAGCCTCTGCAGCACAAGTTTGATCCCCAGGCGGCCAGGGAGCTACCCACATGGTGCAGCAGACCTCTCCTGTCTCACCTGCTGCTCCCTTCAGCAGTGTATTTCAGGCAGTCTGCCTGTTCTGTTCCCCACTTTGTCACTTCTGAAATCCTCTTGCCCCCCCATACACACCCAGTTCTTGTATGCATAAATAAATAAATAAATCTTTAAAAACAAAGTAGCAACAACAAATGCTGGCAAGGATGTAGAGAAAAAGAAACTCTCCTACACTGCTGGTGGGAGTGCAAATTGGTGCAATTACTATGGAAAGCTGTGTGGAGGTTCCTTAATATGTATTTAGAAGAAAACACAAGGGGATAGTTTCAGGATAATGAACTTGGCAATGATTTCTTGGGTTTGACACCAATAGCACAGGTAACAAAAGCAAAAGCAGATAAATAAGACTACATCAAACTTTAAAACTGTGCTTCACTTGACTACTACCTAACACCATGCACAAAAACCAACTCAAAATGGATTAAAGAACTAGACATAAGACCTGAAACCATAAAATACATAGAAGGAAATATAGGCGAAACACTAGATGATATGCACATCAAAGACAACTTTACAGACATATCACCCAAAGCAGTGATAGTGAAGGCAAAGATAAACAGCTGGGACTACATCAAATTAAAGAGCTTCTGCACAGCAAAAGAGACAATAACCAAAACAAAGAGACACCCCTCTGATTGGGAGAAAATATTTGCACACAACACTAATGATAAGGAACTGATCACAAAAATCGACAAAGAGCTGAGGAGACTCAACAAAAACAAAGTAAATAACCCAGTCAAAAAATGGGCAAAAGGGCTAAAAAGAAACTTCTCTGAAGAGGAAATGCAAATGGCCAACAGGCATATGAAAAAATGTTCAACATCACTTGTTATCAGGGAAATGCAAATCAAAACTACCATGAGATACCATCTTACACCAGTGAGAATGGCACATATTAAAAAAACTAGCAATAACAAATGTTGGCGAGGGTGTGGAGAAAAAGGAACTCTCCTGCACTGTTGGTGGGAGTGCAAACTGGTCCAACCACTATGGAGAGCTGTGTGGAGATTTCCGGACCTACTAAACATAGAGCTTCCATATGATCCAGCAATTCCACTCCTAGGTATTTACCCAAAGGACACAGAAACATCAATTGCAAAGAGCACCTGCACCCCTATGTTCATAGCAGCACTATTTACAATAGCTAAGCTTTGGAAACAACCCAAATGCCCAAAAACAGATGACTGGATCAAGAAGATGTGGTACATATACACCATGGAATATTACTCAGCATTCAAAAAAGATAAACACACGCCATTTGCAGCAACATGGATGGAGCTGGAAGGGATCATGCTCAGTGAAATACGAAAGAAAAAGAAAAATACCAGATGGTCTCACTCATAGCAGGAATCTAGAAAACTTAAATAAGGAACCAGGAAAAAGAATAACTATAAGAAAGAAAATATCAAAATCAACAAACAACTATGAACCAGAGACACTCTGTAGGGGGTGGGGAGCGGGGAAAGGCGGGCTTGGGGTCAAAATAAGGGGGATGTAATTGTAAGGGGAATATAAAAATAAAATTTAAATAATAAAAAAATAATAAATAAAACTGCTTCAAAGGAATCGGCAGAATAAAAAAGTCTACAGAATGGGAGAAAAAACTTACAAATCATATAGTTGGATTGCACTGAATCATGTTAACATGCAGAATATATAAGAAATTAATACAAAACAACAACAAAACTGACCTGGGCAAAGAATAGACCTTTCTCCAAAGATGACATACATAAGGCCAACAGGCATACAACAAATGTTCAACATCATTAACTATCAGAAAAATGCAAATCAAAACCACAATGAGATATCATCCCACACCCATTAAGATCACCACTATTAAAAGAACAGAAAACAAGCATTGATGATTATGCAGAGAAATTACACTGGTGCACTGCTGGTGAGAATGTAAAATGAACCACTAAGGAAATCTCTCTGAAAATTCAAAACAGAATTACCACATGATCCCTTAATATCTCCACTTTAGATATATAGAAGAATTCAAAGCAGGATCTTAAAGAGATAAGCACACGCCCAGGTTCACTGCAGCATTATTCACAACAGCCAAGAGGTAGACACAACCCAAATGACCACTGACAAATGAAAGGATAAAAAAAACGTGGTACATACTTACATTGTACTATTATGCAGCCTTTAAAACAGGAGATCCCGTCACATGATACAACATGAACACCAGCACAATGAACACCAAGGACATTCTACTAAGTGAAATAAGCCAGCAACAAAATAACAAATACCAAATGACTCCAGTCATCTAAGTTATTTAAGTAATCAAAAAGCAGAAAGATGATTGTCAAGGTCCAGAGGTGGGAGAAAAAGAATTAATGTTTAATGGACATAAAGCTTCAGTTTTACAAGAAGAATACATTCTAGACATCTATTGCACAACTGTGTGAATTTACCTAACACTGTTGGATTGTTAATATGGTGAATGTATTCTTATGTGTTTATAGTACAACTAAAAATAATATTTAAAATCTCAAAAATACATGTGCTTCTCTTTACAGTTCTCCAAACAAAAAAGCAAAGTACTGCCCTTTTAGTCTCTATACCTTAATACATCAATAACCCTTTATTAAAGAGAAGTACATCACCCACTGCCACAAAACGACGCAGCTTTCTTACTGACCCCAGAATCATCACTCTAGATAACTTTTTTAGAACACATTACAAACCAATAATGATGGTTTAATGATGTTTGCAAAAGGACATGAAGAGGAGAAAACTTGTGGAAAAGGAAATACAGCCTCTATACACTACAAAACTCATGAAGCAACAATCAAAATATATTGTACACCTTGCTCCCAACTTCATAGATACTGATAAAACAGGAAAATCCAGAGAAGGCAGTGAGAAAAGCTTGATATAAAGTATATTTAATAGTAGCAGATGCAAAAAGAAAATGGGGAAGTGAGGAAGTCCTCTAAGTTCGGGGCAGAGACACAGAGCTTCAGCTAGCCCCATTAGCAGTGACAAGAGACAGTCTTCCTTAATAAGATAACATGGGTAATTCAGGTTGGAATAAAGTCATTCACCTTAACCAAAAATAACTTCCCACTGCAGAGGGCAGCTACTAACTAAAGGAGATTGAACATCTCTGTAGATACCAAGAACTGAAAGAAAGAACACTCTGGAGAGGACAGGAACTAGCAACTTGGGACACTTAATGTAATACAAAAACCAGACCTATAAATCTCTTTTACAATCACATGTTTAATGTATGCAATCCAACAAATACCTCATAGTAACTTAGGCTCTACATTATTTGGCATATGAAAACTTACCTGATGGTGGTGAGGAGAGGAATATGAGAGGATATATAGCTGCTGTCAAAGATCCTGTAACACGATGATCAAGAAAAAATAAGTATTGTTTCTTGAAAATTTTCTGAAATAACAGTGTGTTTAACAGTGTTTCTTCCATTGGTTCACATGAAATATATTATATTTCAGTTAACAATTTGTTAACTTGTTTTTGTTCTTAATTCAGTCTCTTATAAAATATAATTTAAAATATATAGGATCTGGTTCTAACAAACCTCAGTTAACATATTTAACAACAGGGCCTCCCCGGTGGCGCAGCGGTTGAGCGCTGGGTTGCGAAGCTGCCCGCGGCCTCTGCGGCGCCGGCTCGATCCCCGGTTGCTCCCCGGCCACCGGAGGAGGATCCCACATGGTGCGCAGACCTCTCCTGCCACCCGCTGCTCCCCTCAGCAGTGTACTTCAGTCCTTCTGCCTGCTCTGCTCCCCACTCTGGCTCTGGTGAATTCTCTCACCCTCCCGCGCTTCTGACTGTACCCAGTGCATGTATAAACAAAACAAACAAATAAAATAAATAAATAAATAAATAAAAACATGCCTCTATAAAAAAAAAAAAACTAAAAAAAAAACAAACATATTTAACAACAGTTACAAGGAATTTTATAAAATTCGGCTCTTCTTTAGTGTGGATAATTTAAATACTACTACCCCACACTTAAAATGTACATTCTAAAGTGTTTATATTCAGAATTACAGTATCATTGGTCATACATAAAGGATGTGGTCTGAAAATGTACAATTTAAAAGTGTATGCATCCATGCAAATGGCCAACAGGCATAAGAAAAAATGTTCAACATCACTTGTAATCAGGGAAACGCAAATCAAAACCACAATGAGATACCATCTTACGCCAGTGAGAATGGCACATATTAAAAAAACTAGCAACAACAAATGTTGGCGAGGATGTGGAGAAAAAGGAACTCTCGTACACTGCTGGTGGGAGTGCAAACTGGTGCAACCACTATGGAAAGCTGTGTGGAGGTTCCTCAATCTGCTAAAAATGGAGCTTCCATATGACCCAGTAATTCCACTCCTAGGTATTTACCCAAAGGACACAAAAACATTAATTCAAAAGGACACCTGTACCCCTATGTTTATTGCAGCACTATTTACAATAGGTAAACTATGGAAACAACCCAAATGCCCAAAAATAGATGACTGGATCAAGAAGATGTGGTATAGATACACAATGGAATATTACTTGGCAATCAAAAAAGATAAACTCATGCCATTTGCAGCAACATGGATGGAGCTGGAAGGGATCATCCTCAATGAAATAAGCCAGAATGAAAAAGAAAAATACCAGATGGTCTCACTTATAGGAGGAATATAGAGGATCCAAAAAAGGGCTCAGGGAAAAAAAAGTAATTATAATAAAGTAAAAATCAAAACCAACAGGCAACTATAAACCAGAAACATTCTGCAGGGGGCGAGAAGGGAGTAGGATCAAAACAAGGGTGGGACAAGCACAAGGGACCATGGTGATAGTTCACGGGTGAATGGGTGGTGGGAATTTCACAGGGACTATAGCCAAGATGAAAATGCATACATTGCACAAAAATGAAAAATGTAAAAAATATATAAAATAAAATAAAAGTGTATGCATGCCTCAAGAGCAATTGCCCCATGAGACTGCTTGAGGGCGTGATAGTATGATTTCCAGGTGCTGTTGAGACTAGGACCAGCCAACAACCAAGGAGTTGTTGTAGGGCAGCTGGAGAAATACAGGGGAAAAAAGGCTAACCACATTACCACCATTTCCCCCTTCTCCTTGTGCTTAGCTATTCCAGTGCACTTTCTTGGCACTAGAGCTTATTCCCTCATTAAAGTACTAGAAAGTCAAACCATTAACAGCTAATGTAATAAGGGTAAACTCTACAGTGCAAGTGAGTTACTGACACCGTAGCAACAGACTCTTTAGATTCCTCAACATCTTTCTGACTTTTCAATTTACCTCAGCTTACAATCAGCACATGTGGTCACTACTCTGTTACCAGTAACAGGAGAAAAGTAGGCAGAAGCGATGCTCTTTGTATGTTCAGTCAAAGAAATCAAAGGCTTTCTTCCCCTCGGTTTCAAGCACCTTGTATCATAAATGTGAATATCCCTGTAATGGGAGGAGTAATTCTCAGTATTGCCATGTAGAACATGTAGTGAGGTCGCAGAACAGCTCTGAACATAAAGTAGACACTCAAACACTCATTTCATTGAAGAACAATTAAAACAGAACCCTCCAATATTCTGCATTAATTTTACAAACACTGACATAAAAAGTAAAAATATTAGGAAAATGCCAAAATTAGAGCAGATATATGTAACCAGTGGGTACAGAGAGACAAAGATTCTAATTAGTTTTCCAGTCGCTCCATGAAAAAAGTTAACACAGACCACCGACAAGGTATAGGTCACATACAACTTTTTTTTTAATTTCAAGTTTTCTTCTCAAAAGACTAGTGGTAAATGCTTATGAGGCCAAAGAAAACAAAAATATGTTTTTTTTTTTTTAATACTTTCACCATTCATTAAATGCAGAAGAATCTCTCATTTTAAAAAGAATCACACTCAAAAGAAACCAATTGGTGTGGAGAGAAAAATTATGTGACCTATGGGTATCACAAAAGTCAGAGTGTCTCTGAAAATGAAATTAAAACAAAGTCCTAACATGAAAAGGCCATATAAAATTTTATAAAGGTGCCTCCCTGGTGACCTAGGGGTTAAATCTCAGTGCTATCACTGCTGTGGCTAGAGTTCAATCCCTGGTTAGGGAGCTAACCCACATATGGCACAGCAGACCTCTCCTGTCTCACCCACTGCTCCCCTCAGCAGTGTATTTCAGTCAATCTGCCTGTTCTGTTACCCACTTTGTCTCTACTGAATCCTCTCACCCACTCCGTACCTCTGGCCTACACCCCCCAGTTCTTCTACGAAAAATAAAATTTTAAAAATATAAATGAAATTTTATAAAGAACATACCTCAATCCTGCAGCCATGAAATAATGTCTCTGTACTGGGTGAACATGAACAGTTCTTATTTTACTCATAGAAGAGTTAAATTTCTCATAAGAGGCTCCAGGTGTCCGTCTATCCACCAGTGACATACTTCCATCCCAGTGTCCTACTATTAAAGAGTAGGCATTTTCTGCCAAGAAGTCAAAGGAGGAAAAGCTACTTCTTTCATCTCTATATACCTAAAGACATAAGCAACAATCAATGTATATATATATATGACTCTTACAGAAAGCCAACACATACATATTTTTGGTAAAAGAAATATAAAGCACAACCCAAATAAGGTCATTTATCCTCCCATCATCCCCACAGGAAGCACAGGGCAAAATGATCACTCCCTTTTAACACAGGTGGAAAGTGAGACACTGATCAGCTGTCTCACCTATTACCAAATGGCCCATCCACCCAGGTGAGGGCCATCCACCTGTATCACAAATCTCAAATCAAAACTTCAGACCTACCCTATGAAACTTGGCAGGACATGGACTGAATGTAAATTCTACAATTGAAACACCTTAATATACCAAGTAACTTTGCCAACCAAGTAAGAGATAGATGGTTGAATGCCTGAGCTACTCTTGGTGGAAGTGTAAATAGGTACAAATTTTTGAAAGCTAATCAGGGTACATCTCTTAAAATATTTCATGGTTATACTCTTTGAATAATTTCACTAAATTCATTAATTTTACCAAATTCACTAAATAATTCACTAATTATTCAGAGTATAACCATGAAATATTTATTTACATATGTACATATATATCACAACATCTGCTACAAGACTGCTTAAAATACTAATAAGAAGCAACCTAAATATCCACCAAGAGAGAACTAGTTAAACGAATGGTGGTATTTCAAAGTATTTCTACTTTGAAATAGCATGCTAAACACCTATATTTTGATGATAAGTCTGTATTACCATCAAAAATAGATTATTTAGTGAAAAAGCAAGTAGCTAAAAAAGTGTGTAAGCAGTTTGAATTCAACAGTGCAAAGGAGAAATCTATAAGCTTATATGTCTACTTTCTGGAAGTAAACCCAAGAAATAAAACATTACTTCCAGAGAATGGGAATGGGGGACAGCAGATTTACTTTGCATACTCTATTTATTATAAATATTTTATCATGAACATGTATTACTATAATTTTTTATTCACATATGATCTACAATTCTACCACTTTGGGTTCAGGGGTCACACATGTAATAAAAAATAAATAGTTCTATCAAGTAAGAGAGAATGACCACAATTCTTATTGAAACTTGAATTGCTAGTAAGTTTTAGGTTTAATTATTATAAACTGAGATTAACACACCAAAAGTATCCCAACCCTACACACCCAAGAAAGCTCAATATATACTAATGAAACTTGAAGTACTAAAATGGTTAAATGGAGGGGCTTTGGAGACAGAGACCCACATGCAAATCCTAGTTCCTGAATGTCCTTAAGCAAGTTAATAAATCTCTTCAGTTTTTTTCATTTGCTAAGAGGGAATAACATTACCTATTTCATATGATTTTATAAGGCTTAGTAACATATATAAAGCACACTCAGGTTGATGTATAACACAAGGTACTAACTAGTTCAATCAGTATTATCAAAAAAAACTGCTGATTCCTGAAAAAACATGGTTGAATCTTGAAAGCATTACACTAGATTAAACAAGTCACACAAAAATTCTCACACTGTATGATTTCATTTCATTCACAAACAAGGAAAATCATAAGGACAGTGAACACATCAGAGGTTCTCAGGGGTTGGGGGAAGGAGGCAGGTACTGAGGACAAATGAGCACGAGGTAATTTTTTGAAGTGATGGAAACTTCCTAATTCTTGATTGTGGGGTAGTTATACAATTACATGCAAATTGCCAAAATGCACAAATTGTACACTTAAAAAGGTAAATTTTACTGTATATAACATACACTTATAACTCAATTCTAAAAATACAGATAATCCAAATAAAATATAGGCAAAGGACCTGAATGGACATTTCTATTATTTAAAAAAATCGCCAATAAGCACATCAAAAGATGTTCAGCATCATTAACCATTAGGGAAATGCAAGCTAAATCGACAATGAGACACTATTTAAACCCACTAGAATGGTTACTCTCTCTCTATGAAGAGAGAATAAGGCAAAGGACAAACAAACACTAACAAACACAAACTCCGGAATTTCATCACGACTAAACCCCCACTCCAAAAAATACTATAAGGAGTCCTAAAGCCAGAACCAACAGAGGTATGAATAAGAACAAAACAAGGGCCTCCCCTGGTGGCGCAGGTGGTTGAGCGCTGCGCTGTGAAGCTGCCCGCAGCCTCTGCAACACCGGATCGTTCCCCGGCTGCCGGCGAGGGTCCCACAAAAAAAAAAAAAAAAAAAAAATTCACATGTGCAAAGCCCAGGAATAATGAACAAGAATATAATATGCAATTTTTTTTCTTGAATGAAAAAAATATTGTCTTAAGTCTAAAAGCAAAAAAGTTGGGCCTCCCTGGTGGCGCAAGGGTTGGGATGCAACCTATGAAGCTATCCACAGCCACTGCAGCAAAAAGTTTGATTCCCGGCCAGCCAAGGAGCAACTCCTGACTTGCCCACTGCTCCCTTCAGCAGTGTACTTTGGTCAGTCTGCCTGTTCTGTTCCCCACTCTGTCGCTGGTGAATACTCTCATCCCCTGTGCCTCTGGCCTGTACCCCAGCTCTTGTATGCATAAATAAATCTTTTTGGGAAAAAAAAAAAACAAAAAAGTTATTGAAAAGTTGTTTGCAAAAATTAAAAAAATAGGAGCAAACACTATGTACTAGACAATTCTAAGTATTTTATCTGCATTAATGCATTTAATCTTCATGACAACCCTATGAGGTAGACACTATCCCATTTTCACAACTAAGAAAGTGAGACACAAAGATGGTAAGTAACTTATTAAGGTATCAAGTAGTATCAGACAGTCTGGGATTTGGACTTACGTAGGGAAGTTCCAAAGACCCTAGGCTATACCACCTACCTGATATAACAATTATGCTTCCAGCATTTCATAAAGAACCCAGGATTATCATCTGAGGTCAGCATATAAACACATTTAAGATTTACCTCTTCAAAAACTGCGCTGGAAAAATCCCCACAGCGTAACGTGCCATCATAGCTCAGTGACAGTAGGTGAGCCGGATTGGCAGGTGAGAAGTAAAGACAACTAACTGGCTGAGTATGGGGTTGAAAAACATAAACCCCATCTTCTTTAGGTTGCTGAGTCTGGAAAAGAGTGGGGGAGGAAAACATAATGAAAAGCAGTATTTTCTATACCACGGAATCATTAAATTATATCTGTACTATATTCAGTCTCTTAGTGTATAAATATACTCACCCTCCCATTCAGAAAGTCAAAACTAAAAACTACACAGGGCCTCCGTGGTAGTACAGGGGTTAAAGTCTCAGTGCTATCAAGCAATGGCCAGCCACTGCAGCATGAGCTTGATCCCAGGCCAGGGAGCTGACCCACTTGGCTCAATAGATCTCCCCTGTCTTACCCGCTCCTCCCGTCAATGGTTTATTTCAGTATATCCGCCTGTTATGCTCCCCACTGTCTCCGGTGAATCCTCTCACTGCCCACACCTCTGGCCTACACCCTAGTTCTTCTGTGCATAAGTAAAATAAATCTTAAAAAAAAATAAATGGCCTCCCTGGTGGCACAAGGGGTTAAGATGCAGCACTATGAAGCAATCCACAGCCACTGCAGCACAAGTTTGATTCCCAGCCAGAGAGGTGATCCACTTGGCGCAGCAGACCTCTCCTGACTCACCTGCTGCTCCCCTCAGCAGTGTATTTCAGTAGATCCACCTGTTCTGTTCTCCACTCTTTCTCTGGTGAATCCTCTCACCCCCGCCCCATACCTCTGACCTATACCCCAGTTCTTATATGCATAAATCTTTAATAAAAAAAAAGTTGGGCCTCCCAGGGGGCACAAGGGGTTAAGCCTCAGTACTATGAAGCAATCCACAGCCACTGCAGCATGAGTTTGGTCCCAGGCAGAGAGCTACAGAGAGCTGACCCAAATGGCTCAGCAGACCTCTCCTATCTCACGAGCACCTGTCTCGCCCACTGCTCCCCTCAGCAGTGTTTTTCAGTAGATCTGCCTGTTCTGCTCCCCACCGTCTCTGGTGAATCCTCTCACCCCCCCACACCTCTGGCCTATACCCCAGTTCTTGTATGCATAAATAAAAGCTTTGGGCCTCCCTGGTGGTGCAAGGGGTTAAGCACCGCACTATGAAACACACCTCAGACTCTGCAGCGTGAGCTTGATCCCGGCCCGGCAGGGAGCAACCCACGTGGTGCAGCAGACCTCTCCTGTCTTGCCCACTGCTCCCCTCAGCAGTGTATTTCAGTCAGTCTGCTTGTTCTGTTCCCTGCTCTGTCTCTGGTGAGTCCTCTCACCCCCCATGTCTCTGGCCTCCCCGGTGGCGCAGCAGGTTGAGTGTCACGCTGTGAAGCTGTCCACAGCCTCTGCAGTGCGGGTTCAATTCCCGGCCAGCCAGGGAGAAATCCACTTGGCAAGGCAGACCTCTCCTGCCTCGCCCGCTGCTCCCCTCAACAGTGTCTTTGGTCCATCTGCCTATTCTGCTCCCCGCTCTGTCTCTGGTGAATCCTCTCACCCTCCTGTGCCTGATTGTACCTCAGTTCTGTATAATCTTTTTTTTTCTAAATTTTTTAATGATTTATTTACTTATTTATTTATTTATTTATACAAGTACTGGGTACAGTCAGAAGCGCGGGAGGGTGAGAGAATTCACCGGAGCCAGAGCGGGGAGCAGAGCAGGCAGAAGGACCGAAGTACACTGCTGAGGGGAGCAGTGGGCGGCAGGAGAGGTCTGCGCGCCATGTGGGACCCTCCTCCGGTGGCCGGGGAGCAGCCGGGGATCGAACCGGCGCTGCAGAGGCTGCGGGCAGCTTCGCAACCCAGCGCTCAACCGCTGCGCCACCGGGGAGGCCCTGCATAAATAATCTTTTAAAAAAACATTTTTTGTTAGCCTTTCTGCTAATGGATACCACTGTGTATGCATTTGCACTCTCTCTCCTTTCACTGCCATCATACTCAAGTTAAGAATGTCCCCAGGAGCTAGAATAGCTGTGAAAGCTCTTCATGGGACATTTAAGCTTTGAAACAACTGATGAGAGTCTGAGAAGCTATTTTGAACAATGGGGAATGAGAGAACCAAACAAGTGATCCAGAGGCTTTGGGTTTGTCACTTATGCCACTGTTGAGAAAGTGGATGCTGCCATGAATGCAAGGACATACAAAGTGGATGGAAGAATCGTGCAACAAAAGAAGGCTGTGTCAAGAAGAGTCTCTGAAAGACTCAGTGCCCACTTAACTATGAAAATGACTTGCTGGTGGCATAAAAGAAGACACTGAAGAACATCATCTAAGAGATTATTTTGAGCAGTATGGAACAACTGAAGTGATTGAAATCATGACTGATTGTGGCAGTGGCAAGAGAGGCTCTGCTTTTGAGACCTTTGATGACCATGATTTGGTAGACAAGACTGTCACTCAGAAATAACATAATGTGTCATTTGTGATGGAACTGGCGAGGATAATGCTGATAAAGTAAGTCAAAAGGAGAAAGACAAATATGGGATGGTCTCACTCATACGTGGAATACAGAGAAACAAAACAAAGTGTCAGTTAAAACCAAACCAATAAGCTCTGAACATCTGATTGCAAAACTAAAGCAACCAGAGGTGAAGGATGATGGGGTGAAAGTAGAAGGCCATGGAACATGGAGGAGGATTGTGGGGCACTGGTGGTAGGCAGGGTGTGAAAGTATACATTTGTTGAGGTTTGAAACTATAACCCCTGGAGCAAATACAAAGATGTAAACCCATTTTATCTCAATAAGCAGCTTGCGGGTGGGGGAGGAGAAATACCATATAGTGAACCATCACAACTGTGAAGTAAGGAAAGCCCTATCTAAGCAAGAAATGTCCAATACTTCATACAAAGAAGTCACAGTGTATCTATAAACTCTGGCAATGATGGTGAAAGTGGTTTTGTTAGGAATGACAACTTGGTTATGGTGGAAACTTCAGTGGTAGAAGTGGCTACTACCACATGGTGGCAGCCATGTGGTAGTAGATATTGTGGCAGTGGGAATGGCTATAATGAATTTGGTAATTACAAAAGAAATTTTGTAGGTGGTGGACTTTACAATGATTTTGGCAATTACAACAATCAATTATTCAAATTTGAGGCCCATGAAGGAGGAAATTTAGAGCAGAAGCCCCTTAGGGGTAGAGGCCAATATTTCACCAAACCATGAAACCAAGGTGGCTATGGTGATTCCAGTAGCAGCAGTAGCTATGGCAGTGGCAGGTTTTAATTAATTACCAGGGAACAAAGCTAAGCAGGAGAGTAGAGCCAGAGAAATAACAGGGAAACTACAGGTTACAACAGATTTGTAAACTCAGCCCAGTACAGGGATGGTAGGGCCCAGCAGCTACAAAGACATGTTTTAGATAATACTTAAGTATATGGGCCAAAAAACAACAACAAAAAACCTCAGGGACTATTAGTTACAAGTATTTGTAATTAACTGTATAAGAGATTATTTTAGTTTCTGTAATGTGGTAAGTGTAAAGCATTCCAATTAAATGTTTTAATGTAATTTTAATGTTTTAATGTATTAATTGCTAAGTACAACAGTTTGATCAAGTCACTGAATAGGTATCTTTTTTAAAAACATGCTTTAAACTTATAAATACATAATGAAAATGCACATATTTGAGTTTCCACATTGATGTTACTACTTCTAAGGATTTTTCTTTGCACAACTGGATTACCAATTCCTAAATCATCACTTTTCAGATTTGGGGAAGTTATACTCACATGCCACACATGTTATTTTTTTTTTTAAGATTTATTTATTTGTTTATTTATTTATTTATTTATACAAGCACTGGGTACAGTCAGAAGCGCGGGAGGGTGAGAGAATTCACCAGAGCCAGAGCGGGGAGCAGAGCAGGCAGGACAGAAGTACACTGCTGAGGGGAGCAGCGGGCGGCAGGAGAGGTCTGCGCGCCATGTGGGACCCTCCTCCGGTGGCCGGGGAGCAGCCGGAGATCGAACCGGCGCTGCAGAGGCTGCGGGAAGCTTCGTCGCAGCCCAGCGCTCAACCGCGTGCCACTGGGGAGGCCCTACCCACACATGTTATTAAGAATGAGAACTATCACCTCCAAATCTGTTCTGGCCAGCTCTGAAATACTTAAGAATTTTTGTTTTCCCCTTTTTTACTTCAAATTTTAAAATAAACTGAACTATTTTTTAAAGGAATAAATAAAATAGGAAGGAAAAAATTACAATTATATACATTTCTCCTACCTAAAATTAACCAGTGTTAACATCTTGACATTTATTTACAGTGGTTTTTTTTAGAAAAAAAAAAAAAACTTTAAAATCACTCCAATTCCCAAATTACCATTAAAATATTGTGATCAGGCCTCCCTGGTGGCGCAAGGGGTTAAGTACCACACTCTGAAGCAAATCCCCAGCCTCTGCAGCACAAGTTAGATCCCTGGTCCGCCAGGAAACAATCCACTTGGCGAAGCAGATCTCTCCTGTCTTGCCCGCTGCTCCCCTCAGCAGTGTGTTTCCGTCATTCTGCCTGTTCTGATGCCCACTGTGGCTCTGGTGAATCCTCTCACCCCCCACACACCTCTGGCCAATACCCCAGCTCTTGCATCCATAAATAAATCTTTAAAAATGTATATCGGTGATCATTACAGATATCTTTATATGTACCTATATATCCTATATATGTAAAATGACAAAACTTAGAAAAAATAAGATGATGCTAAACATGCCATTTTATAGTATTTACATCAGGATGAAGGAATTTTTGAACTTTAAGTATTTTTTTTTACAAAAGAAAATAGAAGATGCTATGTTCCAAAGAGATTATCTTCTAAATTAGTTGTAGGCACTATGCTTTTTATTTTTAAATCACAACTCAATTTTAGATGGTATCTACTGATTGACAATATTGCTCTCACCCCTCCTCTAGTCATCCTTTTCTCCATTTTGTCTTTATTTTCTCTATTTTGTTATTATTTTGTCCAGATTCATAATATTCATACAGCTCTATTATATTAATTTTTCATTTAAATGGATTCAATGCTCATCACCCATTCTTTTGTCAAGCTTCTCTATTTCTGAAATCTTAATTTTTACTCCTAATTAGTTGGGATGTGCTCAGTTT